GAAAACCACTGTCATGCACTTGTTTTGGAACTGCAAGGCAGTAGTTTCTATGGGTGCTCCAATTTGCATTTTGAAACAGTTAAAAACCTCTCCCTTTCCTCCATGATTTGAAAGACTGCTATTGTATTCCCCTCTCAGTTGTCTTTCATGCAGGCTGAGAATTTCTAATATGTTCTTCCAATGAAAAGGCTTCATTTTTCACCTATATTCTTTCCATTTCTGATATATTTCTTTGGAGAGAACTAGAACTGCAAACAGATAAACCAGAGATTATAAACAGCAAAATAGAGTTTTCTAGTTTTCCACCACTTTCCTAATGATTTGTAACAAGTTGGTTTTCAGACTTCCCTCAACACTTTTAAAAATTGTCAGATTAGACACTTAAAAATCTTCTAGTATGCAAGTCTCAAGCTATTTATCAGTTATTTTTCAGCTATTTCACCTTTAAATTCCTGGTGCACTGCACGTGGAGATTTAGTTTTTATTAGTTCAACAAGATCTGCTACTGGCATTTCATTTTAAAGAGACAATCTGCCAATTCTCCACAAGCAATAATCCAGAATGGGAATAACCCATAAAAACTCCATGGTGAAAACAGATTTTAAAATGTGCATTTTTCTGTTACTACTTTCTATTGTGAGAAAACAAGTGAAAAACATTTTTAATATTTAATATATTTAACTGAACTTAGTAACTGCACTGAAGAGCATATCCAATTCTAAATAGCTTTTTTCCCCCAAATTTCTACACCTTCTAATTGCTGTAAGATCCACAGTTGAATGATACAGGTTTATGGCTCTGCTAATTTTTAAGAGTACTAGATAGTGCTACTCTGTGAACACTGAATTATCTGCTGCTCACAACTGCCCCCTTTAACTCAGTCATTCAAATTGAGCATAAAATTTGGCTGCTTCTAGACCTTGTTTTTAAGCCCTTAGTATTCATAAGCAGTTAATTCTGCCAGTTAAACATTACTGCAAGAGTGCAGTGTAACTCTACAAATACAGAGGTCTGATTGAAATTTCCACATCTAATAGGATTCATTATAAAATGTTGCTTGCTTTCAGACTTCTGAGCTTGACCAGAATCTTTAATCCTTAATAGAAATTTAAGGAACTATTTGATGGTTGAAACTATGTGACAAGTGGGCTGGAGCTGGAAACTTTTCCATCTATATTCACAGAAGAACAACACCTGGGTGTTTTTAAGGATGAAAGATGTACTGATTTTGAACATGACATCTGAAACAGACCAAAACGTTAATGTGATACAAAAAGAAATGCTTTGAAATGCCCTTCAAAGCAGCATTGCAAATCTGCAATAAATTAAAAAAATAAAGCAAACACCACAACACAATTCCTGCAGGAGTCTGTTCTTATCCTGTCCAGGTCAGGCCCCTCCTGATATGCAAATCAACATGCCATTAATTTCTTTTCCTGTTTAAGAAGCACAAGTGCAAAACTGGCATTGATTTCACAGAGGCACAGCAACCTGGGTTTATTTCTCCTAATTCTTATATTCTTAAGAAGCACTGGTAAGTCCATGGAAACAGATGACAGACACAGTGGAACCAGTGGGTTCATCGTTTTCCAAACTACTTGAGGTGCTCTGCAATTCTTTCCACCCTCTTTTGGTCATTTCCAAGGCAAGTGATATGTACACAATAGTTTATTTTCTGCTAGAAAATATTAATTTCTAATCAAAAAGGGACAGAAGAGGCACGAGGATTCTAAAGTACATCAACACTAACTGTGACACAGCGAGTCTGCCCTGGCTCACTGTCCTGCTCTGCAGCAAGTGAAATGCTCCAGAGACACACAATTTCAAATCAGCAAAGGTTAACAAGGTGCCTCATAACAGGAGGCCAGAGGGGGTCAATCTCTTCAGCTGTCCAAAAATAGAAAATGCAGAAGAAATCAAGCCATGTTAGAAATACATTTACATGAAGTGCATTTGGAAAAGCAGTGGGCAAGGTCCGTGCCCTTCTGTAACACCTTCATTTGGTAACCACATCTTCCCTTAATAGTATTACACACATGAGCTAATTTGCAGTCAGGTTAAGCACCTTAAGGCTAACTTCCAATTAGCTTTAACTACAATTGTCAGTACTTAGCATATCTAAAAATTATGCTTAACCAAACCCAAAATTTCAAACTTTGCCTCTTCCAACTGGCACACTTTGGCTTTCTTCAAAGTTCATTTGACATCTCTTTCTCAGAATTAACCAGCACAACCAAGAGTCAGTTTTTGCACCTCAAGTTATGGTCACTCAACTAATGGCAGAGAAATCTCAACTTGAAAAGATGTTGGTAATGATCTCACTAACATCAACATTCTGCAGTATTGCTACTTTCCTCTACACTGATATACCACAAGTAATTTCTCATGTAGCTGATACAAAGAGTTTTACATGCCTTTTAATTTTCTGCCACTGGAGAAATAAATGATAAAGCAGCAAAAATAATGTTTTTTTTTATAAGAGGACTCTCGTAAATGAGCTCAATCATTTATCCTAATTGCACCCCCAGTCCTTGTCTGTTCAGTACATACTGGTAGCCTGGTAAATACCCCCTTCCACAATTTCAACATTGAATCAAATTCTCTGTAATCAGGAGCACATGTTTTGGCACAGATTTAACAAGATAAATGCACAGTGCTGTTATTGAAGTTTTATAAATTAATGCTTTCCTGGTCACTATAAAATGTAAAATATACATTCAGCAAGTACGTGACTACATAACTGATCAGAGAGGTGGCAATCACTTCAGCTGTTTCATCACATGCTATGCTCAGAGCATATGTTTATTTAGGGAAATTTCTTTTTTTCACATGCACAGTGGCAGAAAACAAAGCTATTTGCCAGACAGATACTCTTCCCAGTCACGCATCTCTTACTGAGATCAAAAAGTGGTAGGAATGCCATTAATCCATTCTTCCACAAGGAAAGATCACAACAGGTACAATGATCAAAGTTTAATAAGAATTATGGAAGCTTTAAGTCACTTCTACAGATAATTCTTGTTTGCTTTTTTTGAACAATTAAAAGAAAAAGTTGAGCAAATGGACAACTGTTCACCAGAAGAATTCTGTGCTATTCTGTAATTAAAGACAAATTGGTCTTACTACATTCTATGTGTATTCTAGATAGCTATATTTAACTTTTCACATTACATATATCTGTAAATTGCTTTTGTGAATAGGTAATGAATAGGGCATATTCAAAAGAACTTGTACATTTTTCACATATACCAATTTTGCACTCTATGAATGTCAAACATTATGAGTTTATACTGTAGACATAAAGAACCTAACAGAATTCTCAAAATTGTCTTTTTGCAGATCCAGAATTTCCAATCTTTTAGAAACTTTCAATATTTTGCTTCCTTTTTTCCTATTCTCCAGAGGTTTATCCTTCAATTACAAGTTCTTTGTTTTCCACTGATGACAAGTAACAGATGAAGTCTGAGAGCAACATCTAATCCTCTACTCACTCCAGCAGATTTTGGGTAAAGTAATGAACCTCTTACAAATTGAGAAGCTTAGTTTATCTCAGTATTTTTCCTTTTGAAAAAGAACATGCACAACATCTATAGTATATGTGAATTGTGCATAATTTCCAGGCTTTCATGATGCCACTCATATAGTCATGTTCAGTCAAACTGCATGACAAGTACTGAGCTCTTCAGTAACTAATTCGATACCAACTTACAAGTGAAATTAAAAATACAGTAAGTTCTTCAAAGAATTCACAGAATGAGTCAGGTTGGAGGGGACCACAGTGGGTCATCTGGTCCAACCTCCCCACTCCAGCAGGATGAAAAGAATAAAACAGAGCAACCTGGGAAATAAGCAAGAGAAACCAGAGCTCTTCTAGTGGTCATGGAACTGCTACATTTTAAGAGTAGCAGAGACTTGGAGGGGTGAGATCCTGAGGCTTTTAATCATTTCTGTGTTAGCAGACTGATGTCTGGGTTTGAGAATGTGTAGCCAGTGACAGCAGAATGGAGGAACATATGAAAGCCAGAAAGACAAAAATTATTGCTCCTGTCAGCAAGTCAGGTTTCCACACTCACTTGTGCATCTGAATTTGATTGATTATTCAGTGGTTTTGAACAAATGACTAACTGTTCCATACTGTCAGTTTTTCTTTCCATTACCTAAAGTCTTATTTTTCATTCTCTATTACTGGCCAGAAGGTGGGTGTTTTCCTATATTTTACAACTATCTGCCAACACTTTATAAATGATTCAAAATTCTACAAAAACCACCATTCAGAGTGAGAGGAATGTTAACAAGCTTCAGCAGTCTTGTTCAAAACTAACTACATGTGGCTGAAACAAAAGTGGAGAAATTTTGCAGCTGCTAATAATCCCCAAACAAAGAAATACAAACAGCCTGGGATGGCATATTAAAGAGTGTTTAAAGTTTGCCCTGCCATTCTATCCATGGAGAGTGTCAAGAATCCAGGAATCAAGGAACAGTATAAGGTTTCAATGCCTCAACTGCAAGTCAGGCTAGAGCACAAACCCCTAAATTCAGACCTGCCTGAGCAGAGCACACTATGAACACACTCAATGACACACAGTGAAGACTTGTTTCATCATTCCAAACGTTTTTAAGTGAGCTACTACAGTAAGCCACACCTGTCTGTCTGTCAAGCAATATTTCTGGTCATTGCTATCTCCAAAATTGAAATAAAACATGTACATGCACATTGAAGAAGGCATTACTGATTAACATTGAATTGCTGCACTCCCTGACCAATGTAGTCATCTTATTAGCATGCTTTTAAAGTATTAAACTACTAAAAGTCAACCCTCCAAATATGCTATTTGGATAATCAACACAATCCTATGGTTGAATATATATGAAGTTACTGCTGCCTGTTCATTAGCTGATCTCTAATGAAATTATATGGAGATCTTTAAATTATTAAAATGTTCTATTTCAGCCAGAAGCTTTTACACAAAATCTGTGTTGAGATATATCTTATCACTTACCTGATAAACATGGAATGCATTAGCAGCTTTTCCACGCAGAAAGACTGAGGGAATCCAAACATTAATAAGAGCACGATTTGATCTGAGGAGGAGAGAGAAAAACTTAAAACAGGGAATCATATTTATGTGTATGAATTGCAAAGCAACTACATCCAATGGTTTAGATAATGATCAAAGTGACCAACAAAGCAACTTAACATTTCAAATGAAGTATCAGAAAAATTGGAGTTCTGCCTGAACTTTTTGTATGTGCTGTATTTAAAAGTGTTCTCTGAAATTAACCCAACTGAAATAGAGCACTGATATAGAGCACCAAAACAATTCCTTCTGCAGGTTTTCTGGGTTTTGTTTCTTTTTTCACAGCATGGATTTGACTACTTTTGATTATATGCATGAAACAAGAATCATTCATTTCATCAAACCCAACATTTTGGTCCACAAAACTCAGCTAAATCCAAACTCCTTGCATTCAACATTATTAAAAACTACACTAGGGCATGGAATGTGCAGCTCTCCATACTTTTAATAACAGAACAGCTAAGAATTCAGTTATTGGAAATAACATAGGAAAAGCCAATTATGGAATCTGTTTGCTTATTCTTCTTTGCCATAAAGACAGTATGAAGAGAAAAATTCTTTAATTACTAAACTTACATTTCAAAATCTGACAAACTCTGATCTTCAGATGTTTGACTCAGATCTCCAGGGACCTGTGTTTACAAAACAGAAATAATTCTCACACACTGGTTATTAGGTTTTCAACTAAGAAAGCACAATATTATAAAGAAATTACAATTCAAAATTCAATTTCATAAATGCCAATAAAAATTATTACTGAGAAACAATAAAAGAAAAACAAAATCGTTAAACAGATTGTGAACACATCACTCCTTGTGAGTCCTTCGTGTTAGAATTTGCTTATAGTTTTGTAAAGAAACAAGAATCAAATGCTATCAAAAATACTAAGTAAGGTGTTGTTGTCAGATCTGCTATTTCTTATAAGCTGTTATATATTTCATCAGGAGTTTGAGCTTATTCCAGAGTTGTAGATTCTACAGTGCCATAAACAAACACTCACTGGGCCTCTCAAATCAATTAGTTCTTGTCTCATCTGGGACACGAGAGCTTCCTTAGCCATCAGGGCACGGTGCAGCCTCTCATTGAATTCAATCAGCTCCCCATGCATTTCAGCCACCTGAAAAGCAAAGCCAAGAGGTAATTGTGCTCTAAACTGCAAAAAAAAAAATAAAATAATCACACTATGTAATTTCTTACATGTACATCGAATTTTATTGAGGTTTTGTTTTATTTTGCCATACTCTCCCAAGGAGTGCATCTCATTGCTAATGCATTAGTTTGACCATTAAGAACAGAGATTGTTATAATTTTGACTCATGCCTTGCAATGTAATTGTGATATTGAACTCAACAGGACCAAATACAATTCTATGCTAAATTTTATTCCTATCACAGGAGATCCTATGACAACTGATTCTAATAAAACACTCATTAACTTTTGTTCTCAGTTTAATTCTTGGATGAACACAGCCCTCAACAGGTACAAACTAATCACAGTATTCTGAACTGGGAGTAATGCAAATGCACAAACTGCATTAACTTTGTCAATAATTCATGAGTGATGTATTCTGCACTCTTACTTGGAGTTTTAACAGCACTGGAGCTAGAAGTCCACTCATCCCAGGCAAATTTGTGAGGGGTCAAAGGAGCCTAAATACCAGTTAGTCTGGGGCACAGGTTGCTGAGCACAGGTAAACAGCACAGCCTCTCGTGGGGCCTCTTCAGACCCCAGGTCTGGCTCTGTGTGTGTGTGTGTGCTCTCCATTTCAGAGTTAGGAAAGCAACAAGTGATGCAGGACGTGACAAGGGCTGGGTGAACATCAAGGATGTGAAGTGTAGAGCAGTGAGAAGAAAACAGCAGCACTCAGCAGTTGGCCCCTCCAGTGGGCACAGCAGCTGCCCCACCACTATCATTACACCTGTTTGCAGCTACAGCAACTCTTCAAATGCCTCCTCATATCAGCACCCAAAGCTCAGAGAACAGCAGAGGCAACGGGGTAACAATATGAAACAAAGCTGAATAAGATGAATATCAATTCAGCACCTTCAATATTATCACAGGGACTTGGACTACTGCCAACTCTCTTAAGAGTTCATAGTTTCCTTTTTAGAGGCAGTTCATTACTATCTATGAATTTCATGGGCTCCTGTTCTTGAATTACTCTGCCTTTTCCCTCTTCCCCAGGGAAGTTCCCCAAAATAAAGCAGTTGAATTTGGTTTAATTTAGTGCTTACTTTTAATTTTGTGCTTTGTTCCACACAACCTGTATCGTTCATGCAATCAAAGCAACCAGAAAAAAGCAGCTTCAATTTGACAAGGCAGGATCTGACATCATTGATTAAAAATAAAAATAATTTTCCTGAGGTAAACTTCAAGTATTCTTTTCCAATTTCTTTTTACATTAGAGGGAATCCTTCAAATCCAGTAATTCATCAGTGTAACACACATGCAAAAAGGAGCCAAACTAAGCCAACTTTATAGTAGAGAAAATACTAATATAGTGCCATTTACTCTAGATAAATTATTTTCCATACTTGTTTAACCACTAATTCCAATTTAAAGTGAGTGGTGTAACATTTAAGGATATAATAAGTCTCTGATTGTGGTTAATACTAACAGGTCACTTTTAATTACACAGAGACTTGGGAGGCAGAACTTCCTTGCATTTTACACACAAAAAGGTAGAGAATATATAGAATAGAATATAAAATACTAGTTGGAAATGCACAGAGAAAAACCATAATACTGATATCTGGTTGACTGGTTCTCAAAAACAATATACAAATTTGTGAATGGATACAAAACTTAGTAGTTTGTTTGATTTTTCAGTGCCTGTCTCTATCAGAAGAACAAAATTCAGACTATCTGATATTATATGTGACTCTTCTCTCTCTCGAATTTGGATGTCCTTGAAATAACTTTCTACTTGCAGACTCGATTAATATGTAAATTCAACAACTCTCTCAAAGCATGAGAAGTAATACAAAAATTTATAAGTTAAAAAATAAAAAGGAAATTTAACAGCAAATCACTTGTTACATCTTATCAAAAGGACAAATTGTTAGGTATCTATTAGTAATTAAGTTACTTCAGTCCTTCTTCTTGTCAAAGCAAAATGCATTACCACCACAGCAAACCCAAAGGAGTGATCAGCTATACTTCTGAATTACAACATTAATTTAGCTTTCTTTAATATCAAAGTCTGCTAAAACCAATAAAGAGGTCTCCATATAATTATTTTCTTTCAGTTCTATCTTATCACATCTTCCTTTATTCAATCCACACTGAAGCTTAAGCAACAAATTTCCTTACTGTGACTTCAATCGTCTTCACAGTTGTTTTTCTCCACAACAACATATTTGAAGCAAAAAAAAAATCAAAGTACAAATAAGCTAAGTTTCCCTTGGACAGATGATCATTCAGACTTGGTGGTGGCCATATCAGAAAACATGCTTATACCACTTCTTGTTTCACAGCAAAGGACTAAGCTGCTAACTTAAAATATGTCAGGAATGTTTCACTAAGCATTTGAATAACACAATCTGTCTTGGAAGGACACACTTAGAGTAGAGAAACATTTAAGAACTTGCAACAATTCAAGGTTTCTTTTTAGTATTATTTGCAGCTAAAATTCATAGAAGTTTTGCACAACCCACATCTGAATCAATTACTTTTTGTCAAGTATATAGGTATTTTTTCCCCCAGTAGTCACAAAATACAAAATATTGTATCTCCCAAGAAACTCTAGACAGAACTGGAAGTTGCTTCCTTTTGCTCTTAGGGGAAGCATGGATGTATTTTTCCATCATTTTCAAAAAATGATGATCTACATTTTTCCCCAACAGAAACAAAGTCAAAGATCTTCAAAAAAAGGAGCAGGTATCCTACTACTAATGAATAATTCCATTTTTCTACAAGTGAAAAACAGTAAGACTCTAAGTGGCAAAGACAATTCTACAAATCTATTGATATAGCCATAAAATGCTCAATTGTTGCTTCCTGTTTCAAAAATTCTGCAAAAGAAGTCCAAACTTGTGCCAAACTTCCCTGGACAGAGGAAGTTCCATCTCATCTCAGTAATAGTCTCACTTAATGAAAGCTACAGAAGGACTTGTGATTCCACAGAAAAGTGCTGACGAGTTCACTAATTTAAGACCTGTTTTCTACACTGATTTCCAGCACAACTAATATTTAATTACAAGGCTGTGTGCCATGGTAAGACCTCTAAAGAAGGATTGTTACAGGGGTTTGTCTGCCACAAACTCACAAGTGTCAGCAACAAATCCCTGAGCATGCAGAACAAAGTTGGTAGAACTAAGGAGGCTTTCAAAGCTGAAAGAGATTTTACCTGTGTTCTTAATTAAGATATTCTTTTGATAGGTACAGAACAGAGGAAAGGAGTCAGAAGAACTCAAGCACAAGTATGCATTAGGGAGAAAAAAGGATAATCAAGTATGAATGTTTTAGAACTGTATCAATCTCCTCGATGCACGACCTGCATTTCTAGTCCTCTTCATGTTAATCAATTAATGTGGGTATCCAATTTCAGAGTATTTTGGGCAAGAGAAAGACAGAGAATTTTTTTGCTTTTTATAAAAATGTTCTTTTATTATTTACTAGGAGATATGAGTATTAGATATTAAATTTCATTACTTTTGTCTTGAAAATAATTTGTATTTAAATTTAGGATGAAACCCTAATCTATCTCTTTTTTTCTTTAATGACTTTTACATTAGTCTTAAAAGTAAACCTTGCATTAAGAACTTTTTCTAACCTGGCCATATCAACAGAATTAGTAGTTTCCATCATACATTCCTGTAAGGCAGTATTCAAAAAGCAACACAAAAATGAAACATGGTTTGGCAATCAGAAACCAGAAGGAAAGCACAGAAAAAGCTACAGATTTCAGTATGTTCTCATTTTAAATAAAGCTCAAGTACCAACACAGCAATGCCTGTAATTATGTACTGTAACTTACACAAAACCTGAAACCTGCTGTCTGTGATGTTTTCAACTTCACCACCATCAGTTAAAACCTCAAGGAACTTGTTTATTTATTAAAACCTTCATTTTTATACCAAAGCATAAAAATGTACCTCTGTTAAGAAAAGTACTTTTAATTATCTGGATTGCTTTAAATATGCCTTGAAGTTGAATGAAGAAAATTTACCCGCAAAAAGCAAGAAAATTAAATTTTTCATTCCTTTTATTTTTGAAGAAAAAAAGTCAGACTTACCTTTTACATTACTGAGTAGAAAAATAACAGCTAAGCCAAGAAACCATTTAAGCTTCAAATGTTATAATGTAATTATGATTCTATTAAATTTGTGCAGTACAAACTTTACCTCAATCAATTTTCTTTCATAAGAGCTGGCGAGTTCCTCGTTGTTCTCTACTTGCTTTTGCTCTGGAATCGTAAATTCACCATCAGTGCTCCAAATGTTTGGCAGAACTAAAGCAAAGAGATACCTCAAATTAAAATGTTAAATTCCAGAAACATCTAAGACATCCTGTGTAGAAGTAATAGCTCTATAAGAAGCAGTTACTAAAAGTATCAAAATAGAATGTAATATTAAACAGTATCAGAAGGACTAAAATACAAATTCTGCAAGGAGCCTTTTTTGTGAGCAATATTTAGAGTGGTACTCTTATTAGAAAAAAAAATGTAAACTAAAAGCAATTGGCTGTTTTCTGAGTAATACATGAAGGTAGTAACTGCAAATCCTGCCCAAAGTCTTTTAAAACTAAGTCTCTGCTTCTCTTCTAAGACTTTTTTCTACTTGGCTTCCAAAATATCATTTCATATTGCACAGACTGCTTACACATCACAGAAATTACAGAAAACAGGGCTGAGAATGGACATTCCATACTCTATCCAGTATTTCATGTTTTTGCATAAAGCAGAATCAGCTGCAGTTATTCCATTCCTGACAGTTAATTGTCTAATTTATTCCTAGAAACCTCTCTGCACAATCTATTTAAATTTAAGTATTCTTCTCATAAAAGTTGTCTTGATAGCTAATCAAACTTCCTTCACCTGCCATGTAAGCCCATTACTTCTTTTATCTGCAGTGAATGAAAACTACAGTTTATTCTATTCCTGTTCCCAGCCTTCATTTATGTAAGTGATGATCACTTTGAAGGCCTGTTCTAAGTAAATCCCCTCCAAGTTCCACAAAGTTCAATTCAAGTTTTCCTCGTTTGTTTTTTTTTCCACGAATTTCTAAGAAAATAAAAGCACATAAAAGTAAACAAGCCCTAATAAAAGAGAAGTTTAATAAATGCTTTCATTATTTTTCAAAACCTAAACTATATCTACACCCACTGTATGGCAGATGGAAGACACTGTATTTCATCTGACTAAACACTCTTAAGCCTGAGAACTGATTTTTGCTTTGAGGAAGAATATATGCATTCAGAAGTTTATTATTCTTTAAGTGAATTCAAAAGCTATTTCAAGATCTTTTCCTTGTAAATATTGCTTGAAGTTCTTCAGCCAGAAACTTTAAAGATCAGCATTTTTATATAAATAATATTCTATCTAAGCAGGTTTGAAAATGGTACACAGCCAACTCCTGCTGATGGCTGAGAAGTCAAGATGCTGATTTATTAAATATTTAAATACCAATATCAAACTGCTCAGTCCACGGCAGTGATCACTCATTTTGAAAGCTGATATGATATTCTGAACTCGACTCAGTTCTGACTCTTGGGCAATTTATTTATAATCACATTTGCTGAATGGGGTTTTTTGGCTTTTTTAAGTCACCACAAGGCAAAGTATCATGCTGAGTTTCATTTATTATTTTAGGAAACTATTTAAAAGCCATACTCAATAGCATTTTATCTTATTGTAGCAAACATGAAGAGTCTTCACTATTTATAGTGATAAAAATAACAGCAGCAGAAGCTCAATTTATTTTGGCTCTTTCAAAATAGTTTCACAGAAAATCTAAAAACCCAGTGTTCTAAAACCTACAATGCACTTCAGACTTTTGTTTTGATATCATTTGGAAGAAGATTAATTATCATTAAAATTATTTATTATGTATACAAACCATGAGTGCAATAGTTTCTACAAATCTGGTAAAAGAAAAAACTTCTTGTGTCTCACTCTTCTTTTTTGCAGTTAGTTCTCAGGGATTATTTACATACTTAAATACTTACTTTGAGTCAGAGGCCCCAGTACTACTAAAATTTCACCCAAATCTTCAATGGCAGCTAAGAAAATAATTCTAGTTTTATAGAAATACAATGTGTGAGCTAGAATGTAAAAAAAATTATTACAAATAGTGCATGTAGCTGAATCTGGTCATTAATGATAAATATTACAGAAAATTACTGTAGATTGATTAAATATCCTTGGAGCATAAAGCATACATGTGCTCATTTTTAGAAATGTTGGTACTGTTCCATCCCCCTTTTTCATCTATAAAATCTGACCATCCTACTCAGTTTCTATTCTTACCACTCGCTAATTTGCATAATTTTAACATGGTGGAATATAGCTAGCCTAGGAATACTTTTTTCTTTTCCTATAATTACCCTCATCATGGAAACTGTCACTATTTAATGAAGGATAATTTCTGCTATTATAAGAAGCCTAAGCGATGGTTTTCGTGAATAATTCTCAATATGAATCACTACACTCGGCACAGTCGGAAGTAAAAACATGTGTTCTCACTAACAAATATCCTTTTAAGGATGAATGAAGTTTTTCAACTCCAGATAAGTAGAGTGACTAGCCCTTAAGAGCAGTGCTATTCATTCATAGAGCCACTTACAGGGCCACAATATTCACAATTAAAAAACCATCAGACAGATGGTGCCAGTTTCTGAAAAGCCATCTCGTCCCTCAAAACACCTTCTTGTAGTCAGTGGAAATACAGGTCCCACCAGGAGAGGATCCAGAATCAAAGCTCCAATTCAGCTGGTCGTGGACACTTCTATCACAGACCCCAAGAAAAACAGGTAAGCCTGCTGCTAACTCATTATCTTTCAGATATAAAACCTGCTCATTACTACTCAATACAGAGTCTATTTCAAACATACTGATCTCCAAAACAAGAGTATAACCTAGAGATACTAAATTTTCTCTCCTCAAAATAATTATTTTTATGTCCAATGTTACAGTAATTCACAGATTATTGTTTATCTGACAGCTTTTTCTGGGAAGTTTCTTACTGAAAAAAGTAAGGTCACCTCATCTACCAGAAAATGCTCTGTAAAAATAAGTACAAAAATCTACATCAGTAATTTTCCTCAAAAGGAAAATACATCAAGTATGTTATTTTCACTACTGGGAGATACTACTCTAGGATAGTTTGAAGAAATAAACAGGGCTTATAATCATCTCTTGCTATCCCCAGTTTCATGTTAATGATTTCATTTGTTTTGGTGAAGACTCAGTAAGGAAAGCACAGACTTCTTCATTGTTTCTGCTCAGCAGTAATTTGATAGAATTCCATCACATAACATTCCTTTGTTTGCTATCAATCTGCATTACAAAACTCCTCACACAACAGCAAGTAGCTCAGTCAGAGATGAATCAGGGACAGTTCTCACAGAAACAGAACTCTTGTCTTTCCAGATGCTGATATTTTCCCACAGGGGGAGAGCTCAGGTCACACTGGGCAGCACGTGGAAGCACAAACCCTGTCCCCAGCCACACTAGGATTGTGTGGTGTGGCTGAAGAGTTGGTTAAAGACCAGGGCTTGCACAGGACTGGGTGGTTCATTGTCTAATAAGATTCATCCCAGGATCAATCGGGGAAAAAAAGAAGTTTCTTGTAACTCAGAGCCAGGTCTAAGCACTGGGAACTCTTTCACTGTCATTTCCCTACAAGTCCAGGAGTCATTTCCATCATTTAGGTCCTATCCCTATGCCTCCAATATACTCTCTCTCAATGGCAGCAGCCACAAAACCAAACCCTGTGCATGGATTTTTTCCCCCTTCATGTTATCCTTACCTTCCACTGTTTGACCTTCTCGTCTGAGCATCTGGACAGCTCCTACATACTTCTTAAGTTGCACTTTTAGCACCTCATTTTCTCTATTGATAAAAAGAACAGAATAAATATTATTGGTTTCTCAAAATAGATGAAAGCCCTTTTCAATGGAAACAAACACACCATCTGTTATAAGCTTTACCTACGTTGTGTCACCCCAGTGAGGGGGGGGGGGAAGATTTACACATTAATAATACATTTACAGCAGAGTATCAGGAAAACTAGTTTTCCAGGATCACATAAACACATCAGTGAAACAGATTATCTTGTAATCAGAAACTTTCATTAACTGTTTAATTTACATTTTCTATACTATGCTATACTGATGGCAAACAAATGATGTAGGCTCTCTAAATCAACAATCAATTAAAACATAAGGATGGGATACTAGACAAGGACATTTGTTGCCAGGTGTGATGGAACCCTGGGCATGTAACAGATCACAGAAAGCTGGAAACAGATGAAACACAAAGGCAGGCATTTTATTTATGGGAATTTATTTGAGAATTAGAAGTATTCAGAAACATGTGTAAATACGTTTGATGGTCCTTATGATATTATATATACATACACACACAAAATATACATATATTATGTATATATACACACACACAAATAAACTGCTGTTGTGAGCAATGCCACATTGCTCATATAGGAAGCCTTGACTGGTACTATATTCATATTTCTATGGATTTCAAATCAGCTTTCTGAACTATGCAACCCCAATTTTATTCAGTGTTAATCAATAGAAGTGGAACTATACACAATATAATGAGTTTATATCATAAAACCAATCTCCACTTCTTCCTGCTCCCTCTCAGAAGAAGCTCCTTCATCCCTTACTAAATATGATTAAGTTGATTATCTTGTATCTCACTCTTTTTATAAAATGTTTTTGTCACTTGTGACATGTCACCAACTAACTAAGCAGGAAGAAAAAGTCATTTATTATAGGAATATTCAAATTAGTTTTCACAAGCACAAACAAGAGATATTTTTTCCTCTCTCTAAGAAGCTGCTTAGGGGAAGTGATGGAATCATTTCAAGATGCACAACACATCATTTCACCCATCACTGAAGGGCTGTGGCTGTGAATGAAATGTTGTAAAACAGAATAATATAAAATGCCAAATCCAAATGCAATGTGGCTTAAGTAATATAGAAAGTAGATAAGAGGAGGCAAATTAGGTGACAGAATCTACAGTAAACAGAAGGTGCATAGAAGTGTAAGACAAAGTATAGCCAAAATTCTCATCCCCCATTTCCCTCCACGGTGCATTTTCATCTTCTCTATCTGCTTTTCTTGCTACAAAGCCTGTCTTTTGTATTATGCTTTCCTCCAACACTGCTGAATATAGTCTAAGGATATGCAATCTGAGATTATCCAATTTCACAGTCAACTTCAATAAATTTCTTTGCCTTGCAAAGGGATGTAATAGCATTCCATACAGAAGAAGGAATCTCAATTAAAAATCTTTAGTATTGCCAAGAAGCCACTGGCACAATATGTCCATGAATTTGAGAAAGGTTCTTTGATAAGGACAAAAAGAAACAACAAAGAACCAGCTGACAACATAATACTACAGAGTCTATTGAGCCTATTCTATCAGAAGACTGGGAAATAGGTTGAACACTGAGACTGCTCCTTTTGAAACAATATAATAACTGTTATGAAAGAGCTATTCAAATTTTTCACACGGAAGAATGAGACTATCACTACTTGAAACTGAAATTACCTAAGATTTTTTTCCATTTTTCAAAGAGAACTTTGTAAACTTGGTAAAAATTTCTCTCAGTAAGCCAGCATTTTGTCTAGGAGAGCAGAGACTCTCTGGAGAGTCCAGGAGACCAGCTGAGTAACTGCAGATATCCAGAAGCCATCATTTCAGCACTGATTGATGTGTCACTGAAATTTGTGTTCTCAAAGCCTCCAGGAAGGTATTTATGTCAAATTCTTCAAAAGAGCTTTGGGGACACACATAAATATCAGATCTCATAATGTGAAAAATATTCATTCATCAAATCACAACAGTCAGAGTCTTACTGAATGATTTCCCTTGCCTTAAAATATTCAGAATTTTATAAGTGAGGAAAATTTTCTACTCTGGTCATGTGATCAATTGTTCTCAACATAAACAGTGAGGTTTCTCTACTTCAAAACATCTAAAACTTAGTTTCCTCTTATTCACCTACTGTATTATGCACTCACAGAGCAACTGCAAACTTTTTGTTACTTCAACTTCTTTTGATTATTCATCTTGCCCAACTCCTTGGTCTAAAATATTATTTATTAAAAAATTTTACTACCCTTACTATTGCAGCAGCATCACCTACAGTGCACAAAGTGAACCAATAAAAAAAATTAGAAGGAAAACCTATATTCCAAAATAACTATATGCAATGTTAGTAGGCTAGAAAATGAGTTGCAATGAATCATTAAAGAAATGCATCCCAAGTCCATAGTAACTGGTGACACAAGAATTTGTTGTACCTAAGCAGCTCCCAACACTGTTTTTATCACACAACAAGGCAAACTGACTGTCAGAAGAGCAATCAACACAACATACCCAGTCTCGGTAACAATAACAGAAATTACATAAACTTGTTTAAAAATAACTATTTAGTCTAAGTGAGCATCTCTTCAGATCTTGTTATAAAAGCTCCTTATCTTTTCTTTAAAAAGGTATGTGCATGACAAATATCTGATTCACCCATATGTCACTGCAAATTCTAAAACTGTGGGGGAAGTGAGTCAAAGAAACACGAATACACAGTTCCTAGAACCTGAAACATGAATATTAAATACTGAAGTATTTGCATTGTCTCTATTGCCTTACAGCACATGAATGTCAAACCCACTTACCCATATCTCTCCCTACCCCAAGTGAGTAGTTTGGTTTGATGTGTCACCAAAAGCAGAATTAGTAGTGTTCTAAATACTTTTTTTTCCTAAGAAAGCTTTATATTTATCATTTTCAATAAAAAGCTTACAGGAATTTCAGCTGTGGCACTTTAGGACTGACACTGAGCACTCAGCCTGTGCATGCAGAAAACAAACCCTTCTCTCTGAGATAAGGCCCAGATTACTATTCTTATTTAACTCTTGGGATGGGTTTGTTGTTTACTATACATGTGAATCATCCCCAAGAACTCACACATCATAGTTTACTCTAGAGATTATTTAGAATTGTAAGAAAAATCAAACTATTACAGCAGCATTTACCTTCGAAAGTCTTTCTTAAGCTAAATCACATTTAGATGAGGGGAGGGTTACAATTCTTTCAGTGGAGCTGTGGCATAAAGTCAAGCTGAAGGCAAATCACTACTGGGGCCAATGTTATTTAACAGCCTCATTAATGACCTGGGTGCTGGGCCAGGGTGCAACATCAGCAAGGTCACAGCCAACACAAAACTGGGCAGCAGCTGATACACAGGGGGGTTGTGCTGCCATTCAGAGGGATTGGGACAGGCTGGAGAATTGGACTCAGAAAAATTCCATGAAGTTCAACAAGGGGAAACGTGGAGTCCTGCATTTGGGGAGGAATAGCCTGAGGCACCCATTCATGCTGAGGGGCTGGAAAACAGCTCTATGGAGAAGGATCTGGGAGTCCTGGTGGAAAAGCAGCTGACCACAAGTCAGCAACACACCCTTCATGGCAAAGAAAGGCAACAGCAACACTGCTGAAAACACTGCCCACAGGGGCTGGGGGGCCTCCATCTGTGGGGATGTTCAAAACCTGATTGGAAATGGTCCTGAGCAACCTGTTACAGTTGATCTTCCTGGAGCTAGGGGAAAACAGCTGCACCACTTCAGAAATTGGTACTTGTTTGTTAATAATGTTTGGCAACAACTGTTGCTCGTGATGCTCAGCCATGAAAACCTGCCAAGAGGACAAGAAAGCATCAGCTCATGGAAAATGAAGTCATGCTTAAGTAATCCAATAGGAGAAAGACAGATCAGATGGAAGTGTCACTGAAGGGATGGATAATCCATTCTTTACTGCTTACACACCTGAGGGCACATACAGAAGGGTATCTGTGTCAGCACTGACATATGTTATATAACTGAAAGCAATAAATAAAGACACAAATATTCCTACTAATTTCAACTGACACTAGGACCACTCAGCACTTACTGAGTTGCTACTCACTGGAGTAAGAACTTGCTGGGAGCAGAGGGGTCCCCAGACTAATCTCAGTGTGGTACTACATAAACCACCTACCAAAGGAAACACTGTGGAGCAATATTAAAATGAAATAGCTTCCAAAACAAGTCCACACTGGCTCCAGATCTGACAGTTAGAATCCCAACAATCCAGCTTGTGTATTTTGGGGGAAGAAAAAAAAAATCATTTTTCTTGCATGCAGACTTTTTTTATTCCCTTGTTCCACTGCAGTTACTTTTTGAGACCTTTTCAGCCCTTCTTACCGTGCCAAGGCCTGCACTTTGGTGGCGTGTCGCTCTTCCTGCTCTGCTACTTTCCTTCTCCAGTTGTCCATCTCCTGCCTCAGTGCTGCTGAGAGCTCCATCTCTGCATCCAGCAGATTTCGCAGGGATCTGGAAGAAGGCAACAGCCTCTGGTTTGAACCCTGCAAACACTATTTAGTAGTTAGAGTATATTCTAGGAATCACAGAGTAGGTTGCCTGAATGACACCATTAATGCAATCCTAAAATTTCATTATTTGATGGAATAAATTCACGTGATTTGATTATACAAAGACATGGAAAGCTACAAGGAAACAGTCCCAATTTGAGCAGTTGTAAATGCTTACTATTAATTTCTATTACAATCTCATCAACATGCCCAAAGCACAATCTATTATGGGATCTACTGCACCACCACACAGAAAGAATTTACTATTTAAAAAAGTTTATAATGTGTTTTCACTGCTTCAGTGCAAGTCCATACACCTCAGGAATAATCTATAAGCAATATATTTACTAGCAAGGGCAGGAGACAGACATGTCTCTGCTACAGATCTCTGTGTAAAGCCTTTGATGAGATAGCAAAGGTCAGCATGATGTATAATGGAAAAACCCAAAGCATTCTGCCAAAAAACACAAAGCTGAACGGGGCAATAACTTGCAATTATGGGAGTAGGAAGAACAGGAGGCAGGAAAATAGAATCAGTTGGTAGTCACAGCATTAGAAGCCCCAAAACATCTATAGGAAAATGTAAATTACCAAACATCAAATACATTTGTACTTTCATTCATCTAAACATGTGTCTAAATAAACTAAATAAATACAAAGTAGGTTTTATGGCATTTTAAATAAGAGACTGATCATTTTTACATTTACCTCATCATTTTGCCCCAAGTGAACATAAAGACCCTCACAAATGAAAGCCACTTTCAGTATTACATTGTCAGCCATCCTACATCACTTCTAAACCAGAAGGGGAAAAAAAGACATTTTCGGAATATTTGTAAAAGGACAAACATTTGCTCATTTGGAAAGTTGTCTTAAGAAATCCTCAGAATTTTTTGGCTGTAAGTTTTGGTTTTGAAAAAACAGCAACTGCAAAAGCTGCCAAAATACAAAGATTTATCTGTGATTAAACTAAACTAACTCAAAGGAAGAAGCTGACCTGAAAACATTACTTTCAGTATCAACATTTAAATAGTGAAGTATTAAGTTTACCTTTCGCAGAAAAATAACACATACATCAAAAAGATTACACAAAAATTATGTATAGCTTCACATAAAGGACAGCTTGTATCAAAGAACAGATTTTTTTTTTTTTAATTACAGTCCCTCTTGACTTAAAAAAGAAAACTACCTATTCTGCTCCTCCAGTTCATCCTTCCTATTCATCATGGCCACGATAGCTTGGCGAAGTTCATCTAAAGAGAAGGGAGAAAAAAGATTCAATGTCTGTGTGCACTTTGCTCAGTTCAGATCTAGAAGTCATGTACACAGGCAACACACTCCAAATGATGCCAACACCATTTGCTATTCAGCAAAGCACATAAAAACACTCTCAATCTCATCACTAATTTGAGCAATCTTTCAAAACCGGGGTAATTTAACACCGTATCAGAAGAATTGATCAAACCAAATGAGTCTGCATCTGGCTTTAATACCAATGTTTACAAGTGTGCCCTGGGTGCAGCTGGTTTGTTTTAATCACAGCTGTATTGCAGAATGCACCTTTTCACTCTGTGCATATTAATGACATACACTGGTACTCGTTCAGCTCCTTCAAATTGCTTCTTTTCCTTCCTACAAATTCTGGCACAGGAAATATCACCATTACAGGGAGGTGGGAATAGAGAGAATGTCACTGCTTCTTCATGGCATTTCTTCTCAAGCTCAAGGATTTCTGAATCTTGTAATTTTCTATAAAAAACTTTCTATTTTTTAAAAACACCTTAAAAATACTTTCTGTCATTAAATCAAGAATAAAAATTTTAAAAAACCCAACTGACAGAATTTTAGAATTTTTAAAGATTTCTTAAGGTTTTAACATGATACCAGAAAAGCCAAATACCATACAGAAAAGTGTCAGCTCAAAGCACTGCCTCACCTGGAGTCCTTCTGCTGAGGTTTTAGTAAAGGTTTTGCCATATAACTGTACAGATGCACCACGACTACTTACTATAAATTTACAGAAAAATATTAGGACCTTATCATCTAATCTAAAATTATAGATTTTGACTTCCAGATTTTGCATGAATATATGAAATAAGAGAGGTCTTCAGAGATTTCAGTGGCTTCTAGCAATCATCAGGATGGATACATATCATCCTAAACCAGATTTTTTTTTAACAATTGCACTAACAATTTCACAAATATTAATCAATAATTTTATGAGTGCTACAAGGACACAATTATATTAAAACATCCTTCCCAAGAGTTAAATTAAATGCTCTCATGTTTATATATAATAAATCAACCAGCTCTGTTTTGCAAGTATTCAACAAATTTGTCAATAAATTTTGTGTGCTTTTACTGAAAACATACCAACAGAACTGGTACTACTTGTTTTCTTCCAGCAAGCAAAGCCAGTGGAGAACTTTTTGCCCTTTACATTCAGTTCACTGATTTACCCATATTTTTCTTAGTATTTTCTACAGTTACAGAAATTTTTGCCCATTCAAGAAAAACTTAACATTGTCCTGTGGAGCAGATGAAATCTGCTAAATCTAGGAGTGGCCAAAACATGAAGGATTCCTGTCAATCCACTGTATCAGTCAGTGCTGCAGCCACCACAGTTCCAGGCTGGCATTGGTAACCTCCAGGTTAATCCCACCCTTGCAGGACTGCAGGATTCAGCAGGATTCTCCTATCATCTGAAATCAGCCAACCCAAATTTCTCCATGCTAGATTTTTTCCAAAACATTTCTGCTTCTTTGGCCATGAAGAAAGTAGATGATTATTTTGCTACTCATTTCATATTATCCATATTACAGCTTAAGAACTAATTGACATTAGCAAGAAACATTTCAGTAGGTCATTAGGGGGATTTTGCAGTTCATTAATTCAGCATAGAAAGAATAATTATTTTTCTACAGAAAAAAAAAAAAGAAAACAAATCCAAATCTTGCAGAAAAGCCAAAAGTGTAATTTGTGGATATTAAATACAAGCATACATTAAAAAAAATCTGGAAACTTTCGCTTTCTCATATTCAAAACCAAAGCTGCAATTACATGGGCACTTTAACCAGTCCTCCTAAGGCTGTGCTTTCAGCAAAAAGGACATTCCAGTTGCCTTTTCCATCATTGCCACCACCTCCCTTGCTGTGGTGTTTCTACACACACTGTCCTGGCAGGACCTGACCCAGCTCAAAATTGGGGGTATATTTCTTTTTCTTTTCACACAAGCAGTGGCCAAGTGACCTTACTGTTGAGTTTAATGCTGTTGCTGGCACAAGGCACACAACAGAATGCAGTAAAGGCAGAACACCTTTCTAGTTAATAACAATGGGGAGTAAAAGGTGGAATATCCCTTCTGGCAAGAGTAAAGTTCACATGGCAATGAAGTGTCCAGGTAACCACTGTAATTTACACAGGAATTGTAGAAAAATTTAGAATTGAAAGATTATATATGACAAAATACGCTGTGCTCCTTTATTTTCATCACTATTTTTCAAAAGATGGTCTGTACTAGCTTTGATTGACTACCACTAATTTGGAGGTGGTTGGGAGGGGTGAGGTGGGGAAACAAAATAAAAAAAAAAAACAACACCAAACCCTACACTCTGAGATTTAACTATTGTATTTAGCTACAAAATATCAAACTTGGTGATAATGAAACTCAATACACTATTAGTATTATTTTAGTCATGATGAGACACTGCCACTTTGAGGGCAGACTGGAAAGGTTGGGGATTTTGAGAGGTTTTTGTTTGGGGTTTTTTGGTGGGAATTTTTGGCAGTGAACAATTGGTGGGTTGTAACAGTCCTGAAAATGTAATATGCAATGTTGCCAAAATGTCAAAATGGACCACAATCCATCAGCCTATCTGTGAAACAAACAACTGCTCTAAGGATGAGGAAAGCAGAACAATCCAGGAAGTGTTATATAAATGTATAACACAAGCAAAAGGATCCACTGAGACCTTTTAGTACAGTAACACTCTGCAACAAAATAAAGATCCTGAACTACGATGTTGAATTCAGAATCCTCCTCAAGAAAGCATCACGCCAATGGTATTTTAAATATTTCAAATGTGTCATTAAAATATGATAATGCACAATCAACAGTTAGTTGCTATTATGTCTCTAACTGAATAAAATAAAGCTGTTGCTACTCAGACAAGTTAATGCAGTGCTGGTTCTGCACTTACTCTGGGGTGCCTACTCTGCAGTAATTGCCTGTGTGCATACTCAGGGGTTTAATGCGTACTCATTTATTAACATTTAAACTGTGAAGCTATTATAAATTGTCTCCATTTTGTCAATTTTACCAGCCTATTTAAACTGTAACCTTAGCTTGCCTAATAACTTAATCTTCTTTTCCTTATTCCATCCAGAATCTTCCGCATGAGCGGAGACCTGAAATCCCACCTTCTCACAGTCCCCTCTCCCACACACACAAAAGCAGAGCACAAAAGCAAGATTCTGTTAAAGGCCATGGTTTGCAAAAAAAAAGAAGAAAAAAGATTCTTGAAATAGAAGATGTTAAAATACTTTTCTATTTCCATTTGCCTCATTCTTCTGAGAGTTATGGAATTGACAACACTATAGAGACACAACCAAGCAGCAACTCCAAATTTCATTATCACATACAGGAAAAAAATCAATGCTTAATTTAGGATCACAAAAGAAAACACACCTCACACTCAGTATTCCTTGCTAATTTAGTTCAATTACAGATACCAGTGGAGATGTGGAGGAAAGCTCACCACAAACCACTGGTCTGGCTAAGAGACCAGAGTTCCCAGGAGGCTGGTACAGCCTGTGCCTACCCAAGCAGCATGGTTATACTTATGCTGTTTCTTCTTGAAGTGATGAGTATTAAGGAGTCATATTTTCTATAACTTCTCAAAACAAACACAAGAACTATACAATTTATCATCAACACTTCTTTAGCCTCTCCATCCACAATAAATACAAACGACTAAAACAGTAATGGTGTAATTAAATAAGTAAAAAGTTACCAAGAAAAAGTCAGAAACTTTAATTTCATGATCTTTTGATGCAAGGAACTGAATAGAACTAAAAGGGCACCATCCTATTTAATTCAGGTATAACATTTAAAACTTTCAAAAAATTGCAATTTATGACTTTCACTTATGCTTCTGGAAAGATTTCAGCAGCATGTCAGACCAGTCAGTTGAATGCAAACAAAGTAAATCCAGTATCATACACCGAGGCAGGTTCACTTCAAACCTGCCAGAGCACCCACAGTTCAGAAGCTTTTGTCTGTTATGCTCGCCTCCGAGATGAGTGTATGATCATAACCTAATTTTTCCAGCAGACTTATGTCTCATACATTGTGTGGGTTAGAAAAGGGAATAAATTTAAAAAAAAAAAAAAGTCAGGGTTGCAGCAGTAACCATAAATTTGGCGTTTTCTGACTTCTGGACTTCACAACTTCAATCTTTCTCCCCCCTCTTCTATTTTTTTTTTTTTTTTAATAAAACAGTAGGAGGACAGCCAAGTATTCTTTCTTCATGAAAGTGTTTGATGTTAGACTTTATGTCCTACTTCGGAATTGCCTTGTGCTTGACATGACATTTATGTTCTCTAAAGTACCATTAACAAAAAGTGATACACTACTGCTATTAAGGATCAGCCTTCAGCACTAACATATCTAAAAATGAAGTGATAATCAGAGTTCTGTAAAGACAGATATAAGAAAACCAGTGAAGACTTTCATATTATGTAACCTTAGGGGATATTTTTGCAACAACTTCTTGAAAAAAGGATTCCCATGTGCAAACCAGTAATTCCAAACTGTGTCTTTCTTTATAAGGTCACCTTCAGAGCATGAAATACATTATGCTTTAAGAAACACCTGTCAATTTTTCAGCAACCTCCAGAAAAGTCATAAGTTTCACAACTTATGTTGTTTAGCCCAAAAGTGGATAAGTATGTTTTGCAATCACCTGTTATGAAGAATGAGCTGTAAGTGAAATCATCTCTCAGAGAACACAAGGTCATGCAGAACTCCTCTGCAATCCTGCACACAAACTATCAGGGTGGGCTGGGAGCAGTCTCCAGGAATGATTTTTTTTTATTTATTTTCCTGAGTGCAAATTTACACAGATATTTTCAGAGACAAACAAAACTTCCAGCAGACTAGTTACATCCTAAATCAGAAGTCTGACCTTTAAAGACATGAAGAGCTTTATGCTCCCTAAGTTGCCTGCATGAACACTGGCTGTTAAGACTTTATTTGGTGCTCAAGAATCCAGTAAATATTTTCCTGTCATGTCACTATTCATAGGGCAAATATTAATAAGAAACAAATTAGACAATCCAGTGCTGGCCTTCTACTGCACAGGAGGGTCCTGATCAAAAATAAGTCTAAGATGAACTGCAGCTTTGCTCTCACCAATGAAATACAAACACCCTCTTTCCACAGCTGTGCTTTCAAAGAAGTCACGAGAATTTAGTACCTGTCAGTGACCAGTGGCAACCAGGTGACAGAACAGGTCAGAAGCTGTTTAGAGGACACAGAAAGTACAAACACATGCACCCAATTGACTTACACAACCAGGATAAAAATAAAATACGTAGGTTTGGTTATTCAGTAAAGTTCTTTGGTGATTGTGAAAAAACGGGGGCTTTCTCAAGAATACATGGAAAAATATGGAATGACGTACAAAGCTCCAACCTTTGCTAACCTTTGTGGTCAATACCAATTTTAAAAACTGAAGAAAATGAGAGTGGAAAAACTAAATTACCAATTATTTACTAAAAATAGCACTATAATAAAAGAACCCTGTAAAGAAGGACCCAAGCAGCATCCTTCTCAAATGAAAGTTTTGGAACTTCTTTTTTTTCCACTGCAAAAACAGAACGAGGAGACTTGTGCTGGTGGGACAGATTGTTTTCCACCAAAACAAGGCTGAAAATATAATCTTTCAATGGCAACACTTTGGAACAGACAGAGACGTTTGTGATCCAAATATGACAAACATAATTTTTTAAAAAATTGGAAATGTACATAATAGATACATATATATAAAACTTCTTGAAAACTTAATTCTTAATAAAATTGGTTCTAAGACATAATGATCTGTAAAGTAGGGCAAGCTTTCAAAAGATGTCTAAAATACACAGCAAAAGTAACTCTGTGGATTTTGATTTCTCTTAAGTGGTATTAGTATTTTTTGAGCTGTATCTGCTGCTGAGCTAACCTATACCTTACAAATGCACAAGACATGAATTCAGGAAAATAATTCAAAATAGTAGAAATTTTAAATTACAGCTTCTCACAATATAATTTTCTAGCCTGCACATCAAAAGAAGGAAGAAAAGGTTAGTACTATACTAGTAAGTCGGGAAGGAAGCAGGAAAAGAATAAAATTTCAAAAAATTAATTTCAGGCTTTGTCTCCAGAACTATGAAGCACAAAAATCCAGTCACTGGAGACCTCACAGCTTTTCTCACTGCACTACTGCATTCCATTTTTCTTGCCTGATGTGTTAGAATCAGTTGCTATGCAACCAAGCTATAAGCCTCACCATTTAATAATTCTTCTGCTAATTGCAATAGAGAAAAAGAGCTTCAGTGTCTGACTTTGTCATAGCACTGACTTCTTCCTGTGCAAAGAATCTACGACCAATAACAACAAACTTGAAAAAAGCATTTTTATTGAGTGTCTCTGGGATCAGCTATTATACTGCTATTGACTAATACTATAAATGCATATTCATCTGAATTTTGATTATAATTATGATTATTTACTAAGTGTCCTACTAGCTTTGTAGGTGGTTTTGAAATGCTTCCCTCCCCCAGTTCCTTCCCCCAAAGCCTTCTCTGAAATGGGAAACTAATGACAGCGTGCATGCTTCTGTTGATCCCGTGTTTCCATTTCATTTACAAATTGCCAAGTACCAAGAACTGAAAATCTGAAGATTTTCTTTCTATTTTATAGCTGTCTTACCTACACCTCGGAACTAACTGAGCAACTGAAGGAGACCAATTGCGGCCCCTGCTGGTACCTGACACCTACAAAACAACAGAATCAAGAGAGGGCAGCAACACCAGAAACATTCCCGTTGAAACGCTGTAACCCAAAAAATAAAAATAAAAATGTAAGAACAAAAGGATATCGTAGTAATAACATCAGCAGAGAACATCTAATGACCAGGTATTGCGGTAACCAGCAACAGGAACTCCATCTACACCTTCAGGTACGTCTCAAACTGGTTTCCCACTTCGTGAAGGACTTTGCAAGAAAGGATTTTCCAGCTTTGTAAAGCTCAGCCAGCAGACCAATGCCAGAGCCTGGAACCTTGCCCAGTGAAAATGCATGGTCTACCTCCTTTACCACAGGTTGACACAGACAGCACTTGAACATGACTTCAAAAAATGAGATTAGAATATTTTAAGGGTTCACCCGTTTTGTTGGTTTCATGATTCAGTTTCAGTAAAGAATCTTGGCTGCATCACTTCTAACTTCCCAAATGTCATAATTTAAAACTTGTACACATTTAAATTTAAAAGAAGAAACAAACACGCACCCAAGAGCTTTAGGAACAAAGCCAGTTCAGTTACAGAACATTCTGTACTGTGAGGAACATCAACACATACTGGCTCACGTGTTTGGACAGTCAGTTTAGGAACTAAGTCTTTGTTCTACAAGAAAATAGATTAAAGATGGGGTAAACAATCTGCCTGTGCTTCTATTAATCTATTTCTACAGCAAAGGCTATTTTATCTTGTCTAGTTCTACTCTGAATACTACTGAAAATATGACTGTTCTCCACCTTCATCTTAACTAAAGCTTTTGCATATGAAAGCCCATATTTATGTTTGGAACAGATTTTCATATCAAAATCACAGACTGAGTGTACATAGAAAGAATTCTGTGTTTGGTTTTTTCTGACTAAGCATAAATGAAAGCAGGAAAAATAATTTTCAGAGCTTGCAGATGTTAATCAAATTTAAATCATTGTTTTTTATTTAACTACTGAGGCCACATCTACTATAAGGATATAGCAGTTGCAATGAACCCTAACCTGGGATCTGCCAATACAAACATCATTTTAGAGCAGTTCTTTCTAATGTGGCCAGCACATCAGAAATGAAGTGCTCTATGCCTCTCTAAACAGATCCTACTGAAATAAAAATAGAAAGAATTATAGGTCTTTCAAAGTTATTTCCATCAATCTAGATACATCAAGGAAGTACTTACTAATTGTCATGGATTCTGGCACGGTGGCTGAAGGCAACATACTGCTTAAAGTATTCACTTGTGCTGGAGGACTGACTTCCACTCTAGTCATAAAAGTACAGAATAATCAATAAATGGAAACAAAATCCTAAATTCAAATCTTAAGAAAAAAACCATTCCAGAAACTAGAACTGTCATGCTATTCACCCATATTTAATAACTTAGGTTTAACTATCCTTTAATGCATCTCCTGGGAGCCTGATTTAAGAATACACACAAAAATCCTCCAAATTAGCAGGTCATGGAGAATAAAGTAAAAAAAAAAAAATAACATAAAACCCCAAATAAAACTTATTTTCAAAACCAGGAGGCCAAGTCTGTCTGTTATTTGACATGACAATGTGAATTCTTCCAGATAATTAAGAGAAGGTCAGTATATGAAATAAGGCAAAAAGGGAAGTGCAGGTTTTTTGCATTTGTCTTTCCAAACATTTGCACAAGTACCCAGATGGGTAGTTGGTTTTCCAGAGCTGATTGCATTAGGTAACAATAATAAGTTGCCAGCTATAGGGTGAAGTTTTTTTTTTAAGAAAAACATATTTGACACATACCTGTAAGGGAGATCAGATCTTCTGGGAACCAGTTCTACCGGATGAACAACATGTTCATGCCCCTCTCCGTTCTCCAAGTTATCTAAAGTAGAATGCACAAGCATTAGCTCTCTTCAGTTTACAGTACTTTAAAAAAATAAAACATAAACAAATCCAGAAGGAAGGTAGTTACATTTTTAAATAGAAATACTCATCTTTACTAAAGATTGAAACACTTTAAATTCTTTCTCCAAAGCTGGCTTCTGCACATTCACCCCGAATGCCAGCTGGATTGTAAAGTCCCTTAGGAACACAGTCATCATCAAAAAAAAAATCAGTATTGCACAATTCCTACATTTTATATGTACATTTTACACTAACAGTGTTGCAAAGCTACGAAGAGACTTCTTACTGATGTTATTTTTGCAAGCCCCAGGACTTCAACCTCCACATGCATCTGCTACTCATTACAAATCTGTTTGTGACTTGCAGAAGAATTTGTGGTTAGTCCCAGCACGTGAAACCTTGCAAAGACACCAGTCCTTTATGTATTCCCAACAGAGCACCATGGCTGTTCTCTGGCTCCTTATGTCTATGTAGTAAACACCAGGAATCAGACAGATGAGACATTGTCTAAAAAGCATGAATAATACACATCTGTCCACAGATCCACAACTGTCGGGATCAAAAGATACACATCACTGGGCCTGTCATTAAGGAAGTGCATGTGGAAAGAAACAAAAATCATATTTTATTGATGTTTTCTGCATCTCACTATGTAAGGGTTACAAAGTTACTATAAGACAGTCCTAAAATCATCAACTAAAATAGCACAGATTTAAAAAGCAGGAATTCTACGGAAAAAGTTAATGGGAATTAGTTATGACAGAAAGACTATGGAGAAGAAAATAAATTTAGTTATGTCAGAAAGACTATGGAGGAGAAAATAAATTTTTTAAGTTGTAGAGTTTACTGAAGCTCAGTTCCTAAAATGCACACTCCATTTTTGTTCCAAGCAACTGAATTTTGACTGAGGCTTTCTCATTCCTAGTTACATGGAGATATAATATGCCCTGACACATCCCTGAAGCACTGCAACAGACTAAAGCTGAAAACACAGATATTAACATACAACAGTATAGATTAAGCAGGGCCTGGGTTGCTGTTTCCTACAAGTGATGAAGATCTCTTTCATCAGCCCAGTGTGGGATCACTCCAGTTTGCAGAATGGAGTGATAACCACAGGGGTTATCCTGTGGTTTACCCCTGTGATAACCACAGGGGTTATCACAAAGAAAGACAGGAGAACTGAAAATGTCTGTGTACTGTGCCAGAAGGGATCTGTTGATCATCTCTAGTAGTCTGAGCATTGTATCCAAAACAGTTCTGAGATGAAGCGAGACCAAACAAGGATCTTCTCAATAAAAGTAAGCCCCTGTTACAGCTATTGTCCTCTTTGGTCATCTGTCTCCACCTTGGCTGAGACTCCTGCCTTTTGATTTCAGCTACAAACTCCAGCTCACAGTCCTGACGCCTCGTGACATCTACAACTCCCACAACAATTGTGAGTTCCCATTCCACACACCACCACCCTCCACAATTGTATCCCAGATTTCAACCTGTGGATGTTCTCCAGCAGTTTCTGTATAAAACTTAAAAGAACATGATGCCACAAACTATGTGATGTTTTCTAAATCCATTCCTTCATAAACTGAAAAATGTGGCAGCACAAATAAAAAATGAAAATGTACTTACTTTCTATTTTTATTTTGAACCACTGCCATTTCTTATAAGGTACACATTTTAAAATACAGCAGAGGGCAGTACAGCCTTATTTTATGATTCACATTTTAAATCACTGAACTTACAGAACTGAATTACACTTTTTCACAGGCCTTCAATTAACAATCCATTTAAACTCTTGGCGCACAAAATGTACATCCAAAAAAATTAAATATTTTACAATGAAAACGTTATTTAATGCCACTGATTAGTTTTTAAATGGTCACTGAAAAAATGAGCATACCTGAAGTTTTAATCAAATACCATACAAGACCACAGTTTAATCCCAACAAAACTCTGGGGTTTTTTGACATTGACAAATCCTCCTCAACTAAATAACTACTCAAATCAAGAATTCTGATTCAGAATGAGAATGAATGTTAATTCCTTTCTATCCCAGATGTGCAGTATGTTCTATGTCCTTACAATCCTGTTATTTCTTGCCATTGTCCCATGTTAGAAATTCCATTATAAAGGTTGTTGGAATCCTGCAAATTAAATACCCACCTGTTTGGGAGTACGAGCCAACAGCACTGACAGGGAACAGCACATCTGAGTCATCATTGAGGACCTGCAGAGGAGTCCAACTGCATATCTGAGAGTTGCAAGTGCCTATTTCATGAGTCCTAGATTTAAAACAAACAAACAAACAAAACAATCTCTTTATACAGTCAATATCCATGTTGATAATGCATATATTTCTTCCAGAGATATTACTTCAAGAAAAAGCTTTACTTCAATCTGCCTGCCAGTTTCTTGGCTGGCCATACATTAATCCATTAAAGATCAGACATTCCAAAGCAGACGAGACAAACAGTGCTTGCCTTTTTCCCCAAACAATTTTCTTTGTCAGAAAAAAAGAAAGCATATTAGTATTTAAAATTATTCATTCTCTCTTGGTTTTGCCTTGGTTAACTATCTCCTCTTGTTTAACTATCTACTCTGAGGTAATAGGCTTACTCTGTTTAAAATACATGTTTTTACTGTGAAGCCAAAATAGAATTGATATCATATGAGAAGTAGGCCAGAATTATAGCCAGGCTATATCATGCAAATATTTAAACAACTGAGAACTTCAAGGAGAATGAGAGAACTAATTCTCAAAATTATGGTTTTCAGTGGAACTTAGAAGCAAAATATCACCACCACAGTGGCCCAAATGGTTTAAACAATGATCAAGAAAAAACAAGGAAAAACAAAAAAAGGGAAAAAAGGTTGAGGAGCAGGAATGGGAGGGGGAAGCAGAGAAAACCTATAGTTCAGTTCAACACATCAATTTGTGCCCATGAAGAAAAGGGAAGGGTGGATGGGAAGCATGGAAAGTTTCCCCCCAGCTCCTGCACCGTTACTTACTTTTCAGAAGCTTCAGTTTCACCTTCTGTGCCTTTATTTCCTAATGTTTTTCCATACAGCTCATCCTCATCTGCATCTTCATCATCAATGCTCTTCACATCCAGCTTCTGGTACTCGTACTCTCCATTCATGAGAGAGTGAGGCAATGAATTGCTCTTCCACGAACTGTTACTTTCATTCCCGTTCAAATTTTTTCCAAGAGTGCTTTCAGATGAGGACAATGCAAGGACTGAGGATCTGTCTACACTCTCCTCTGAGCTTTCTCCTGTAATCAGAGTCTTTGTGGAATCCCCCAAATTTTGCTCATCTTCCTCTTCGTCAAATGAGATAATATTGGTCACTCTCTTCTTCTTTTTTCGATCTTTTTTGTATCTCAAATCTAGTAACAATACAAAGTTTTACATAGTTTAGAAGAGAGAAACAATATAGTAAATCTGTTTTTTCCTTAAAAGAGCTCATGTACTAAATGACTTTAGTAAAGAAAAAGCCATTTAAATCTACAAGGCATTCATTAGCTTTCCATACACACAAGCTTTTAAATCTTTAATTACCATCTTTATTTTATCTGCCTTACATAATTCAGATTTTAGAAAACATTTTGGAGGTGCATTCATAACATTATTTGATTGGAACTGGAAAAAAAAAGTTGAACAAACTCATAGAATTAAATTTAAAATAAAAATTTAGCCTTCCTGTCACTTTCTCCCATGGAATACACCTAAAGTATATTCTAGTGTATATTGCAGAGCATGTCTACCCAACAGAGAAAACATGAGACACTTCCAGAGAGAAAAAATTAAAAAGAACAAACTCACAACATGAACAAAATCCACAACTTGCAATCAAATAAAGGTAGTTTTGTCTATACTCTAAAAATTGAGCAGTCAGTTCCCAGAAAAAGAAACTAAACTTGCTCCCTCCCTCAGGTAATTAGCTCTTGGTCTAGAAATACACTGAAATCCTCAGATTACATCAGATCTATTCAGTGACAGCACCTGTTTTTAAATTATTACCTATTCTCACTAAATCCTATGTGCACATGAAGCTGAAGTTGAAGCACGCTAAGAAATATCAGAAATCTACTCACCAGACAACTCACATTGGGACTAAACTGTTTTGTTTCATTCAAATCCAGCTGTTCTATATCCACAAAACATACTTTTAAGAGGATGTTAAAACCCATTCTGCTTGCAAACAGAATTCCAACAAAGAACACAGACTAATGAAAACATCTGACTTGCTCTAACATTCCACATTATAATGGCATTTGAAGAGACTCATTTTTTTAAAGTGACATTTTACTGTAAGCTCTACATTTTATGTACTCTGCACATAATGTACATTATGTTGTAGAGTCATATGCAGCATATGGTCCATTATTGTCTTATTTCATCTTGCAAGCCTATTCTATTCTAACGAAGTTATCCCAAGTCAAGTATCACCTGCAATTTTAATCTCATTTAAGTGCTAAACAACAAAAGCTTTACCACAAGTTTGCTTCAAAAACCATATTTTGAAACAAAGTCTATTTTAAATGCCAATAAACACCAGATTTTATCTCAACTTCTCTTCCTACCAGACAGTTTTCACATGTAGGGTTTTTGCCTTTTTCTCATAACCAAAACAATTTAATGCCTAAAATCAAACCTTGTTTCTTAATTGAAAAGCACATAAATCTTCCTGCAGTTTTGTACCTTTACAAAGCAAAACAATCTTTCAGCTCAATTTCCAGAAACAATAAAATACTCCTTTGCAATTTTTGGGACTGAAAATATATACTGAAAATCATATTTTGCTTGATTTTTTTCAAATTATAAGAGATTAAGACTTTGAGTCTTTGTTAGTAACTGACATCCTACAAGCTGGTTGTAATACTAAGACATTTAAAGGTTAAAAAAAGCATATGAGCAAATTTCATTTTGGTCCAGGAATTTCATTTTGCATAGGAACTCAGACTGTAAACAGGGGCCCTACTTGAAGAAGATTACAAGCTTAGATTTGTATCTGATATATAATAATGGATATATAGCAGTGTATTCCTGACTGATAAAAGTGCTAAAAGAAAATAAATTAAAAATGAAAAATCATTACATCATGAACTGCAAGGTTTAATCTTATAAGAAACTGAAATCCAGGTCACAAGCAAAGCCCTGCCAATAAGACACTTCAGCCTCCCTCTCACAGTGATGCAAGAAAGCTGAAATACCATCCAGTATTCACACCAGCATTTCTAAAAAATTCCATACTTCTTATTACACACTCAACTAGTTTTTATGTGCAGCACACACTTATTTTTAAGATTTGCCCTATAATATTGCATTAAGTAGAAATTAAAAGGTTATTTAAACACACTCCAATATTTGATAAGTTCCTGAATGACACCAACACTGCCTAAAAGCTTACCAGCATTTACATTCCGGGGCAGAACAGGAAGGGGGTCAGTGTCTGGGTCAGGTTTGATGAGAATGGAGACAGCAGAGGAGGCAGTGATCTCCCTCAGGAGGCTGCTCACACCCTGCGTGGATTCCTTCAACAGGGAAGTTACATTTTGTGTGGATTCCTTTAACAAATCAGACACGGTGGGTGTGCACTTGCTCTGCCCGTTTAAATCCTTATTATCAATGTTGATGGCAAAAAGGATGGAGTTCAGACCTTCAAATAAAGGAGAGGGGGAAAAAGAGACCAAAAATGCACTTTATAGTTCACACTTCATACTTCACACAAAAGCTAAAAACATAGAACCTAAGGATTAACAAAGCTATGACATGTAAAATATTTTTCCCAAAAATTTCCCACAGTTCTCCATGCATGAATTCTTATTCTTTCGTGTACCATTCATTCTTTTTTAGATTATGTTCAAGTTGATGCAATCAGTTCTGAATTCATCTTGATGGTTGTTCAGCTGCACATTAAATAAGCAATAAGTACTGTGAACTCATTTATTTATAACCTTTTATTTAAACCCATTTCACTGCAACTTCAGTATTTGTTGGTTCCTGTATTCTATTACCAAAAACTTCTGTGTACTTTGTTTTGCAGAACAAAGCACATGACCACATATCTGAAAAAAAGGGGTAAAAGAGGTAGAAAAACATCACTTCTGTGGTCAAACACTAGAAAAGTAAAGTATTTGTTATCACTCCTTACTGCTACTCTCCTTAACTGTATTTGCCTATAATTTGGATCTTACTACAAAATTCTATCATTACCCTTTTCTAGTCAGGAATAGCCCATTTTGTTTTCTCCAAATTGCACTAGTTTTAAGTTAGCCTTGACTGTTGAAGAGTAAAAACATTTATGTGAAAGACTTTTGAACTGTAGGAAGGCCAGATCCAGATTTTAACACTCCATCAATTCACAGCATAAACTGGCACAATACCTTGACAATTCACCCTGACTGTGCCTCTGACACACATTCTCCACACAAGCAGTGTGTCAGAGAAGCTCCTCACAACCAGAAATAGATATGACATCCCAAAAGGCAATAGTTTTCCAAGAACAGTAATATTTAACAGAAAGTTTTACCAGCTGCCATTGTAGGGATCATACTGGAACGTTCTTCATCCATCATAAAAGACCAGTCTTCATAGAAGACACTATAATTTGAGAGGGAAAAAAAAGAATATGTAGTCCTATACTGAGTATATATTCCACTTCTGAAAAACAAGAAAACTCCAAAAAGTAAGTAAGATTACACCAATGGATTCTGGAATAAGCCTTTTTAGAAAGAGCATTACAGTGCAGACTGTGCTGATAATCTTGACACTGAGCAAGTATTGCTAAAAGCACAAGAGTAATTAGTGACACAGCAATTCAAGTCACTAATTTCCTCACAATGGTTTTCAGATTTTCCTTATTGTTTCATTTGTCTTCATTTGATTTTATATTGGAAGAACGCTACAGAAGACTGGACCAAAATAAAAATTAAAAGGAGGAATTAACAAACTCAGTTCTGGCAATAACCTTATCCATTAATCCATTAATCAATGCAAATGGAAAGAATGGCTTTCTGCTGGATCCACTGGACTTGATCAAGCTCAACAGTTACTGATAAAACAAGGAGAACACCTCAAATTTTCAAAAAGAACAGGAGCTGAAGATGTATGAGGAGAAAAGTAGGACTCAGTTTGTGAACTTAAATGCATTTTGCACCTCCAAAGTACTTCAGGATTTCACAGTGGAAGTTATCCTCAGTAACTGTAACAAAAGGTTCAGGAGCTGTTACCAAACCACTGCCAAGGGCTCTGCGGTGGCAGCTCCCCACTATTTCACTGCTGCAGCTTTGCAATGACACAATGAGCACCTCCAAAAGGCAACAGGCAATTGCCACTGATGAACTGGTCAGCTCAAGGCTGCAATTTTAATGGAATGAGAGGGGCACCTCAAAGCATGGTGCCAATGTCTCAGTGAGGAAAACTGTTGAAAGAACAGGGAAGGGAGTTAGGAAAGAGGATGGAAATGAAGGTGAGGATAGAAGCATAGATTCTCGTGGGGTAGAATGAAGCCAGTTTCAGGTCACATGTTGGCATAGGCACAAGCCACTCTCTTAATGGCTGCCAAAAATTTAAAAAATGAACAAAAGAATCAGGTGAAGCAGCTTGACCAGCCCAGCAATGAATAGGGCGTATTATTACAGCCGTGGCTTTTGGTTGGTTGTCTGGGGGGTTTTTTTATTCTCAGTACTTCATTTTTCAACACATTTCCTGCCTTACAAAGACATCAGATGCAGCACCTGAGTCGATTCTTGTCTGCCAGCAGCATATGAACGTATCTTTCCAGGGAATGCTCATTCAGTGCACAGCGCAGCCAGGCCCGGCCCCTGCCGACGTCTGAGGTGATGGCCCTCAGAGAGTAAAAGCGCTGCAGCTCGTGTCTGTTCAGAACCTCCTTCACATAGTACCAGAACACTGGCTCTGCAATTGAATAATAAGCTATTATTAATCATAACCCAACCAAGAACACTGCTAAGCTCATACCTGAATGCATTTACATGCAAATTTATAAAACCAACAGGTAACTTTGCTACCTATACTTTGGACAAAGGTGAATCATTTACCAGTTTGGTGCAACCCTTCTGTTAAATAGGTTATTTATTTCTACTGGACTCAGGCTATTTAAGCACTTAGAACTTTTAACTTCATTGAAAAAGCCAAACACACAAATTAAAGGATTCAATCTCATGCTTTTACATAAAAAAGACATTTAAGTAACTATTTCATCCATAGGACAGGTTCAGGTGTTCAGCTGAGAATATATTATGCAAAGAAAAAAAAATTCTTTGGAACTCTATGTTACTGCTGATTGTGAAATGTTAGGAGCTACATCCAAAGTAAAGAGTAGCTATAGAATTTGCCAACATGCAAATGACAAAGTCATGTTACTTTAAAAAACAAAAGTGTTGCATTTAAAAGGCAACAATACCTCTTTCCACTAAAACATTTTCCTTGCCCTGTCACCAAATACTGATAAAAAGTTTTTTTGCAGTTGCCTCAAATTTCTCAGTTGGAGGTAACAAAAAATCTACATCAGTAATTGTAAATGTACAACAAAACACCAGGTATTTTGCATATACCCATTTCTAACAGAGTAAGAACATATTTTAGGGACATATTTATCACAATTTACCTCTCACCATTTTCTCAGGGTGAAAACAACAAAAAAACCCAGATAATTCGTCTGTAAAACTTAAAATGATTACAATATGGTGTAGTTTGGCAATCATTAAGTACAGCTTGTCATGAAGGATCTGTAAATTTCAAACAAAAACCACTGCTGAACAATTTTATTTTTCAATTGTCAAAGCCTGAATTTATAGCCTAAACAGCAGTATCCCACTGTGCTAAAAAAAAAAAGATGACACCTGTGATTATGCTAGACAGAGTGGGATATAAATCATACCAGACTCATGTGCCTGAAAGTGATATAAATATAGAAATACTTTGCAACTGCTTTCAGGGAAAAGGAAAAAAAAAAACGAAAAGCAAAACCATACCAACCCAACACCGTAATTTGTAAAGATAAATGCAAGGGAGCCTTCAATTCCATTAAAAACAAAAATAAAAAGTCACTGTACAGCATTCTATTTGCTGCAAAGCAGCCATGTTTTTGTTCTTGACCTTCCACACATTGCTTAAGCTTCCTCAGGACTAAAAATGATGTTTTCTTCCTCCTTCCATTCCCCAACCATAGATAACCTTCCTGACTTTCTCCTCTTCCTCCACATCACCTCAGTGCCAAGCCCCCAGGTAAGACACACATACACATGAACATGTAGCTAAATTGTTACTAAACTCCCAAGAATCAGAGATGTATCTTTGTACTTCTGCCCACTAACACACAGGATCAAAAATTTCATACACCCTCGACCTTAGCAACAGACAGGAGAGAAATCATAAGAATTGTCTTCAAATTAAAAGACACACTGTTTGCCTAAGCCAGAGAGAGTGGAACAGGGAAGCACATTCCCTGCACCAAAGTGTAAGGCTCACAATTGCAGATAACCAAACCACTGCCTGCTGAAGAGATGGGACCCACCCAGAGTCTGAAAGAGACCACAGAATATCCAATTCCCAATTACAAATACACACAAGGGAAAAAAAAGCCCACTGAAGAGCTGAAAATCTGTAAAGACAGTGTAAACAGCTGAATTTGCCTCACTTGTTCATTTAGCACCAGCAAAGTGTCAGGTTCTTCCCATTACTAAGTAAAAGAGGCAAACATGGAGAACTCACCAATTTCTTTAAGAGCATGGCTACTTTAGCTCCCAAAAAAAGCCCAGCCTGAAGGTTCTAACCCATCAGCAGGAAGGTGAGCACACAAGGCTCAACATTTCACCCTTCTGCCACAGGGAACAAGTCCATTGCTGAAGCAATTTAAAAACACCATTATATCAAACTACACATTTTGTGTTAATGTAATATCCATTATATGCAATTGTCTGGTGTCACTGGAAGTTATAACTGCAGATCAAAGTGTATTAACAATTCCAGCACCACTAAATATATTTTAAAAAACCCCACCAAAACCCAAAACTCCACTCTGTGGGTTTACAAGTGTAACATATTACACTTGACAGAGTTTCAAAAGTTAAAAAGAAGCCTTTTTCATTATGTGTACCCTGATTAAGAAAAAAAATACTGAAAGTCAAATTTCACAACAAAACTGATTAATATCTTCATATAGTTTTGATTAAAAAACCAAGAGAAACATCAAGGTGAAAAGAAAAATAAAGGAATATTTTATTTAAATGTGGAGAAAGCAATAAAAAACAACTCGAACAACACAGCCCTAAATCTAGAGTCTGAATGCAATGTGCATTTTGTCTTTATTTTAGTTACAAGTAATATAAGTTTCCTTTCTAAAATTACATCAATACTTAGAAGTTAAACACATCTGATGCAATAGAATATGTCAGTTAAAAAGTGGAGTAAGAAAAGGTTAAGAATGAAAATGTTGTAAAAAACTTAACAGCACAATTACACAACATTTATCCCTACCAGAATTCAAAATAAACTTGCCACTACACATCATTTAACTGTTAAGAGGTTGCCTCACACCAAAAATTTCTAGAGAAACTTGGTATGAAAGTTAAACTAGATAAGAAAGTAATAATCATTTTCACTGCTACAACACACTGCCAAGAATGAAGTATCCTGCCTGCAGTTTAAGCAGTGCTTAAAACTTCTGTTAGAAATTATACCACTTGATTGAACATATCAACTACTTTAAATAGTTACAATTAACAACTTACCTGTTTCAGTTTTACTGGAGAAACCTGCTGCCTGTTTGATTGCTGCTGCTGTTAATGCCAGTCCTCGGCTCCTCCTCAGGCCGTGCTGCAACACAGCTTCAAACTGAGCACACAAACAAGTCACTCTGCAACAGAATTTTTAAAGAAATCATAGGAAAAAAACCCAATCAACCACGTTTCTATACAGCAAGTTTATTCCAGATCTCTGAATAGGGAATGTAAAATGAAGCATTATCTCATAAACAGTGAAAGACCCCTTCTATGCACTAATCTCATTATTTGCAGGCAGGATAATCTACTTATACCCACAGTCTCACCATGATGATCAAAAGCTGGGGCACAGAATACATTCAGAACTGGCAATCAATTTGAGAAATCATCCTCACCTGCTGGAGTGGTTGTTAGCCATGTCATGTCAGCTTCAGAACACCCACATTTCATGTAATATAATGTATCAAGTATTCTGTGCCATGTTTTATGTCATTATGATGCATAATCTAAGCATGTCAAAAGTTTCTTAAGACTATTTTACCTGCTATCAGAGTCTGAAGCAATTTCTTTTCTTCCTCCAAACCGTATTTGACACTGCAAGAAACCGAGTTTAAGAAGTTTTACGAAATTTTTGTTACACTAGACAGAAATTCAATTTTCTGAATTTCTTCCATATAAGAAACCAAATCATAACAAAAAAAAGGAAGCAGCACAAAATAAAGCATTGGCAAATACAGCCTGAAACCAAAAAATGCTCTACAGCATCATGTTCCACTAACGGGCTACTCTTGCAGATCAAATATATCCTTGCTAGTCAGAGCAACACACCTGCAGGTCCTTCACTAAACTGAAAATTGAGTGGAAACTACTACTTTGGGGGTTTAAATGTAAAATGTAAACCCCACAAAACCGAACATTGCTCTTATTCAGCCCAGTACTACAATTACAGAAGAATTTTTCTTTATAAAACATATCATTGGCTTACTCCTGAGGCATTCTTTTCCCTAACAAGCCCTCTTAAATTGAATCCAGTGTATGAAATTCTACTTGCTGAACTTCATGTTGATGCAAAATACAGACATAAATAAACAAATCATATCTTTACATGTATTTTAACCATTCACTAAAAAACTATTGCAAAGAAAAAAAGCTTCTACTCTAAAATGTTCACCAAGTTAGCCTTTGCAGTACACTGCAATTTAGTTCAGTCTTATCAGTATTACAAATATATATGTTCATAACATATATTCTATAGTATTATATATACTTCAAGTATATACATTACAAGTATAATCTGTCAAGAACAAGAATTTTAAACAAATACTTCATAATAGTTGTTTGTTAGCAGAAAAAAAAATCTTTAGTATCATGTAAAAGCCAAGATTTCTTCTCTCTCTCTCCTTTTCTTCTTATTCCTCCTGCTTGTTAAAGAGGAGGAAAAAGAGCAAAGACAGTTCCTGCCAGTTCTGACAACTCTGAGCAAGGATACTACAGAAATGTGTATTGGATTTCTCACCTGTTTAACTGCATCCAGCAGCCGTTCTAGAAGAAACTGTCTTTTACTGTCATTGTTCTGTGAACCTGAAATTCAACGAAATTATATCATTTTAAAATAAATAGGCTCTGTAAAATATGTCTGGGCCAACACAAGGGCCCTGAAAACTTTCTTCCCATGCCAATTATTCCATTAAATTAACTAACATATTTTCTCTAAGTAAAATGATGCAGTACAAACTCTGTTTTGAGGTTTCAAGTAGCCTTTCTATAACATGCTGTTATATATACAATATGCTGGTATAGCAGGAATACTGTTTCAAATATCATCTAGAGTCTTATTTTAGTAAGATTTTGGTTTCATGATATAACATATATTGCAGTTAACACCAAATACAGTATAATTGTGCAAGCTGATGCACAGCACAACCAACCACCTCTGGGGCCACAGTGCAAGCCTAGAACTAACCCAGTTTAAGATTTTTTTTTTTTCTGGTGGGTTGGATGAGCTTATGATGGAGCTCACACAACCACACAAGTATTCACTCATACTGGGACAACTACCAGCTTAGTAGAACAAGAAAAAGAATGGAAAATGAGCAGGAGACAGCAGGAATATCTTATTACTGTCAAACAACCTCACTGCAGAAAGAGTTTTAAGTCAGGTGAACTTTGTAACTGTTACAAAATTTAGCTACCAGCAGAGTTCTTCCCGATTAACACTCACAAAATCTAGTTTCTTACTATTCAAGAACAATCTTTAACTTCTCAAGCATTTCAACAACAAATAGCATAATACTTTGCTTGTTGGAATATCCTTTATAAAGTCCCATGAATATATGTAAAATTTATTCTTTAATTAACCTATATTACCTCTATAATGTTTTTATTCTGAGCTTAAGTTCAAAATATCCATCAGAAACCTCTGTGAACTCTCTAGAATTAGGGTCATTATTATCCTTTCCCTCTTAAAGAACATACAATCAATACATGTATAGACTGAAAGCCAATTATCAAAACTCTGCATGAGCAAGTTCCTCCAGACACTGAAAATCAAACACCACACAATAAGCCCTCTAGTAAAGAGAGATGACATCAAAGATATGTGTCTCTTCCTCTTGCTATCTGACACTGGGATGTCCAAATCCCAGAATTTCCTATTTTCATAATACCATTCAAAACAGTTTGCTCCCAAACCAGGACAGGACAGAATTTGTCCTACTGAAATGGCTCTGTCTTTGTTTAAATATATATACTCATATAATATATTAATATATATTATATTAATATAATGTTTGAATATATATTCATGTTAATTTGTCTATAAATACATTAATATAACTCATAGTCCATGTATATTCATTAAATATGGGATTAGGAGAAGAAAACCCCCAAGGTACAACAGAAGAAAGAAAACAAGAAAAACATGCAAACGTAGCTGCTCACTAACTAAGCTTCACAAGGCTTATTTAGCTGATTGCAGTGTGTTTTCTAGAAGTTATACTTCCAGTTTTGAACTCTGACTCAATCTGGGCAGGCATGTGATGTGTGAGGTTCAGGTCTGTTAGTCAAGCACTTCGCTGCACACAAACAATGTTCAGAGGCAGCAAAGGACTCCACACCAACCAGGTTTTAGCTTCCTAACAAATATGCCAGTTATGCCACTGCAGAGATAAGGTTAAATTCATATAATCCCTACCATTCCACTTTGTGCTCCTTCAGAGATTATAATTTATTAAATTATATTCAGTGTTTTTAGCAAGCATGCATTGCCAAAAATGGAGATGCATACATGCCTCTGCATTTACATGTCTTATAATAAATGAGAGAACTGTAAAATAAGGAAAACTATCCCAGCTTTTAGTACAACCCCTCATGTGCAGTGACATTGAATGTACACAAACCTATAGATTTTCTTCAAAACTCATTACTTTTACATCTTATGCTACCCACATACCTGCAAGAACAGGCATAACACAACTTTTCTTGAGACTACATCAGAACAAATGCATGCAATTAATAATTTCATGACCTGAAAAACATCTTTCAAATGAAAATATTGGTATGTGGGCTAAGTTTGACTTCCAAATGCAATACATGTTAGTTTTTAAGTTCACACCTCTTCGGACTCTTTGTATCTATTGGTAACACAGAAATGGTTTGCAACTAGATTTCAAACTGTGATCAATATAAAAAAATGCATAAATACAGAAAACCTACAGATTTTCACTACACTAATTGATGTTCTGAAACACTAAAGCCTGTGATATCAAACAGCCCTAAATCTACATAGACAGAATGCAATGTGCATTTTGTCTTCATTATAGTCACAAATTTGCACTAATAACAATCAGGACTACACGTGATTACATCCAATAATGTCAGAAGCATTTCAAATCACCTCCAGCATTAACAAGGCTATAAGGCCACATAATACTATAAAGTCTATACTGAGGGATGGCCGAGGTTTCTCTTCAATGCACATCTTAAATTCTTCTACTGCTGTGCTTAACAGAAATTCTGCAGACAGAAGAAAAAGAATATTCACAAAGTCTAACTTTTTTTTTTAAACTGAAAGATTGTGTGCTTTTTGAACACAGGGTATATTTTTCTTTGTAATAAGCCTAGAAAATGTAGTACTATTTAGCAATGTTTTCGTTTCGGGTGGAAGGTAAAAATAAATCTGTACTAACTCTAAGATTTTACTCTTTTACGCCTTCATTTTCTAAACTAAGCCTTTAGGAAACAAAAAAAGTGTATTTTCAGACAAGAGCAGCAATTAAGTGTGATTAACTCCAGCTGATTTAAAGTCTAAGTGTATTCCAAACTGACCAAAATACCCTTCTCCAGATTCAGAAAAGTGGTAAAAACTGCAGTAACACACATACAAATACAAAACAGAGAATGCACAAAAACAGCACCACTCAGAAAAAAGGTTGCATTTAGACTATAGCAAAAAAAAAAGGAAGTTCCTACATGAGTCTAAAAATAATTGTGAAAACATAAGCATAAGGTTGCAAAAGCTAAGAAACTTAAAGAGACTCCTCCCACCAACATCTACTCAGTTAAAAAGGGTTTAAAATAGGCTCAGGTGCTGCACCTGCCTCTGTGACCCTCCTTATTTTCTGTTGTTCAAGGTCATGCTTTCCTATTTTTGAAACAAACTTCTCTCCATACCCTGACACAAACATCCACACCCAAAGCAGCAGAGAACTGACATGCAAGTAAAGGAAAGCAGGATTTTCATCCAATTTTTTATAGCTAAAGCTCTTCAGCACCACATGTAGCATATAAGTTAAAAAAATAAATCTCAGCTTGCTCTTAAAACACTACTTGTATTTAAGTCTTGTATGCAAAATTTCAGACTGCAATCCCTTTTGCTTGCTCTAGTACAGGTTCTGAGGGTACAAGTTTAAGATAAAACAAACACAGACTTAATTTAAATGCCACCTGATACTACATTATTATGATTCTACTGCCTCATCCTCAATTAGGTGCCTTTTTAAGTTTTCTGAAACTGTTGCTAAACAACACCCATAAATCTTGACAAGCACACAAGTCTAGTTTCCTTGTGTTACTTCCCTTTAAAGTTTAGCCTATTCAGCACTTGCACAATAAAATATGACTGTGCAATTAATAAGTAGCATTAGTAATATTTAAGTAATGCTTAAATAAACAGGAAGTTACCTTCACATCCACTAGAAATGCACTGTAGCCAAAAAAATAAACATTTAACTTAATTATAGCCACTAGGAAAAGAGGTTCTTCTATCTATATTTTAGAACACCTCTTTTACTTTCAAGGGCTAAAACTGGCCAAGGAAATAAGTGCAGACAGTGCTGTTCCAGCTGCTAAAAGAAGGACATGGTTAAAACTGATGTTAACATTAGCTATCTCCTTTATCTGAAACAAGCATGATAATGATAGATATTTCTTTGTTCTGAACTGTTTCATTTGTATTATTCTGGGAAAATTCTGCACAGTGTTGTATAACAGTAATGTTTGGCAAAGTGCAACATCAGTAGGGTTTTTTGTTATCTCACTGTCTAATCAAAACTGTTGGGAAAGTCATATAAGTCTTGGCAGGGGCTACACTTGGCTAGGTCACCACGTAACTGAAGTACTAGTGTTAATGTTAATTAATAACCTTAGGCATTATTCTGTTTTAAGTAATTAAATGTTTTCTCCTCATAAACCTGTATCTCTTCATTGTCCTAAAAAAAACAAGAGCAGTTCAACCTAAAGGTTGAACCTTTAGGCCACAAGAGGTGCTACCTTGCCTTTTGAGTCACAGAATCCAAACAGAGCTTCCAAAGGTGAGTCTCCTAGGAAGATTTAGGCTCTGATTTGCACAAATGTGCACAAGGCTAGTCCTGGCCCGAATTCACCATTGAAGAGCTGAGGTTTTCCATACGAAAACAATGACTCTTACAGATTTCATATAGGGTTTAGTCTATATCGTGTCAAGATCTGAAACATTGGAGAAACTTTCTTTTCCCATGGTTTGAAAGATTTCCCTGTTACTTGCATTTTTCACAAGGCTAATTAACAGGTTTCCCAAAAATAACCTCTTTTTTTGCCTCATCTCTTCCATAAAAAAACCCTGCTGTTTTCTTCTTACCACAAAGTTCAGAACAAAACAGAGAAAAATACAACTGAAGCAGTTTTATTTTTTATTTCATTTTCAGAAATTACTGTAATGTGGCATTTAGTTACTCCAGTTAACTCCTCAGTATTTTCTTACAGCCTTACAGGCAAATCTCACCACATATTAACTCAGGGTGGGGGATAAACAAGCAATCTCATTTTCAGGTGCAGACTGTTGACTGCAACTTCCATTACTGAAGTTGTACAAGTAGACCCACCTAAGTATTTACTTATTAAGAAGCACCAAACAAACCCCTGCCAATGTGCTTTAATACATATTCAGTAACTACCACTTATCCTTTACATTTACAAGAGAAATCCATTAAAATTTCATTCTCCCTCACAACTCTTTATGCTGACCCATTCATGTGGTTCTACATCCTCAAGTCCTGGAGTTTATAGGTCACAACTCTCAGGCAAAGCTTCCAAGAATTTCCTTTGACAAACACCTCAGACCCCCTGGGATTCAGCACATCCCCCGCACCGCTTTCCCCGAACAGAAATTCCCACATCCAGACCCGACACATCCTCGCCGGGACTGAGCTGGAGACACAACCAGCACACCCCGAACACCAGAAGGCACCACTTTCTCCACTGGTCATGGTCATGCTTCTCACCTCTCCCACCGCCTGCTTCATACTGAGTTCATTCTGTTAATTTTTATTATTTCCGTTTTTCTTGGTCATGTATTTTCTCGGGAGTATTTCCCGTGATCTTGCACAGTTGAGACAACACCGAGCCCAGCATCACTTGTGCTGTGAGCCAGTAAAGCCACGCTCAAGGGCAGCACTTGGGGTTTAAAACGAGGTAAACCAGCACTTCGGGGGTACTTGGGGGAGCCGGAACGAGGAGCGGGGTGTGGTGATGAGAGACCGAAGCGCTCGGTGCCTCAGCACGGGGAGAACGGGGGACCGGGGCAGGAGCACGCCTGGCCGGGGACCCCCGGGCTGTGCCCTCCCCCGGGGGCGGAGGGCCGGCCCGCCCCACCTCACCGCTCATGGTGCCCGCGGGGCTCCGTCCGCCGGGGCCGCCGCTCTCCCGCTCAGCCACGGCCGGGCCGGCAGCGACCGCCCGCCCCGGAACCCGCCCGCGCCCCGGAAGGTAAACCAACGGCCCGGGGTGTGGGGAGCGCGGCGAGCCCGGGGGCCCTCACGGGCTGCTCACGGTGTCCCCGGCACGGAGCCCTTCGCCGACCCTCCTCGCGACCCCACAGCCCGCGGCAGCCCCGCCCGCCCGGGCTGAGCCGCTCTGTGGGCCGGGAAGGGACACCGGGCACGGAGGGGTGGGAGAAGCGGGGATAACCTGTCCTGCGCTGGCACGGGTGCTGTGCAAGGGGAAAGCTCGGAAACGGTCGTTTTTCGAAAAAATAAAAATAAAAAAGGTACAAAAACTGTGGGACATAAAATAATATGAAATGTGGTCCAACACGCAGAACGTAGTTGCAATAATCAAAATAAAAGGTTTTGTGGTATAACTAGAACAGTTGCTCGTCCTTTGGTAGCTGATAATGGAAATGAAGTTTCACAGCCACTGCAAGCACCTTCTTCCACTGGGCACCTTAATGTTTCACTTTGAAGTGTGTCTCTAATCTCTAGAGGCAGAAAAAGCTGTCCTGTGTAAGGGCTTTCAGGAATTAAAAATTCCAATATAAATTTAATAGCTCTCTATCTAGGCCTGTTTCAGAGGTTTTGGCTCTGTGTGCCCAGACCTATGCAGCTAAATCCCAACCGGCCCAAGCTTTGTCAGACTCCTAAAGCTGCTCTAACAGGGATTGTTCATAGATTTTGTGCAATAATTTACTAGTCCTAAAATATTTTAATTCATCATTTGTGCAAGAAACTGAAATATAAAGTTAGCTATGAATAAAGAAGATCGTTGGGTTGATGTTTTTTTCTGTTGTTGCAGTTTTCCAGGAATATAACTGGCCTAATATTAGGAAAATAATGTTTGGAAGGCAAGGGGTCAGAAGTATATTCCTAATATTAGGCCACACAGTAGTCTGGCATGACTCTTGCTAATCACCAGTCTTTGTAAATATGATAAAGGTAAGTAAAAAAATTAGTATAGTAGAGATACAACAGAGAAGGATGCTGAAAGGAAAGCTGGTACCACCAGGAAATACATGGGGATGGCAGGGATTGCAGTGAAGTCCAGCAGCTGGACTTTGATGACCCGTGTGGGTCCCTTCCAACTCAGGGGATTCCATGATTCCATGGTGTGGTGTTCCACAGCCCCACAACCTCCCTCAGTGTGACCCAGCAGTACCTTCTGAACTGGGAGGACTCCATTCTCTACAAGGATCCATCGTTAGAACATTCCTGTTTCAAGTATCATAGGGGCTACAACCCTGAGGATGTACTGTGGGTCTTCATTTCTGCCTCTTGGAACATTCCTTGTGTCCCATCAAGTAATTTTTGGCACAAGATCTGTGTTTAACATAAAGCATATATTTGCACACTTGTTTATTGACGGGTTTGTATATATCTGGTGTAAGTAGATACAATCTTTAAGAGCAGCAAAAGCTGTCCTTTGTAAGGACTTTCAGAAAGTAAAAATTCCAGTAACTAGTTTAGTACCTGAGAATAATGTAGAAATACTTGACTAGAGAAATACTAGCATTAGAAATAATATGACAATATTAATGAAAGCTCAGTGGAAGATCTATAAGGACAATGTACTACCTCCTCCACTGACTGCAAGTATTAAGATTAATCACTATACTGGAATAACTCATTTATTATTACACAGTAAAAATTCACTACTCTCATAGTCATCCAACACCCAGAACATAGTTGCAATAATCAAAAGATTTTGTGGTAACTAGAACAGTTGCTCGTTCTTCAGTAGCTGGTAATGGAAATGAAGTTTCACAGCCAGTCTGAGGTTTTACCAAGCCACAGTCACTGCAAGTGCATTCTTCCACTGAATACATTAATGTTTCACTTTGAAGTGTGTGTCTCATTTCTTCTGTATTCACACTGCTGTCAGTATTAGCCTTGAGAATATTATTCAGCTCCACAGAGGAGTCTGTAAATATAAAGAAGTTAATATAGTACATACATCATCCTATACCAAACATTAAAGATCCAAATTTCATTATGTTCCAACTATGTTCTAACCTTAGTGAAAGTTTTAAGATGTAGTTATATATGATGATCTTTTGTTCCATGAAAATATAACTGCTATACTTCAAGTATTGAAGTAATCAAACACATATTTTATAATAAGTTATTATTTATTGTCTGAACACTCACAAATACAGTATTTGTAAAATGTAAAAAGAGATTAAATTTTTTCACTGTCACAAAATATACCACATAGACTTCTCACACACTGCAATACTAAATAAAATTATTTAAATTATCATAAGATGAAAAGCTAATATTGAATGCGTATCCTCTACCTGTGTAGAATTCCTTTTGCATTCAAAGAGAAGAGGGTGAAACCCTTACAAAGGTTTTTGCTATTGAGGGCTCATAAATGACTTCTCAAACACCAGTAAGTAAGCCAGGTATGAATATACAACCATACAATCCTGGCAGGATCTGGAACCCACAAAGAGAGATTCCTGCTTTTGCAAGTCACCATCTGGGTATTTTATTGCCTAATAACTTTGATAACTTCATGGAGACTATTTGAGGAATACAGAACAATCCAACAAAGATAGTCATCAGAATCGGGAATATAAATGACATGCAAAATTTGTACATGGTAACAGTAGCTAAAATATACAATGATCTCAGATTATTTATAAAGAATCTTATTTATTCACCTGTGTTTTCCAGTTTTTCTTTTGACTGCTTTAGGCGCTTCCTTTTAAACAAGACCATTAAGGTGAACAGAGTGAGCATTAAAATTACTCCTAAGCCCAAACAAATCCAAAGAATTCCACTTGAGTCGGTACCTTATGAAATAAAAGAGATGCATGAAGTTAATCCATAAACAATAACTAATGTACAGTAAACATGTCCAACACATCAAACCTCTGTGTAAAATACAACACTAGAGTGCCCAGCACAGCCACAAAATGCTGCAGCAACACACTTACTCTGCTCACAGTAGTTCTCACACGAAGGCGGTGGCGAGCTGGCACATCGGAGATGACAAGGCGTACAAGAGAGCAGCAAATGATCAAAGTATTCATTTTTGGGGCAGGGTGCCATCAGGGGCAGTAATTATGGAACTACAAAGCCACAGAAATTTGTAAAAGAGCGAGGATCATCTACAAAGGACTTCTCAGTTTGAGCAACTCTAAGAGCAGCTAGCAATAATGGACTTCCATCACAGACCCACTTGATAGTATCACGTTACATAGAAGGGATTTAACTCTGAGGTCCCCAAGGAATTACTGTTCCTTTTTTTGGCAATTCACAATTGTAGAAAAACTGAGCAGCTGCACCAATCTTGTCTGAAACAGAAAATGGTTATTTATAGAAGGCATTTCTTGGACAGGTGCTGAAGATTACAAATCATAGAAAAGATCTCCAAACAGGAGTTCATAATAATTGTTCTTGTCTCTAAAACTTTGTGGTGATGGCCTGCAGTAATCATGTTTTCTTATAATATGCAATGCTTACTTTTTGTCCCAGTCCAAAGATAAAAAAAAAAACCAGAGGCAGGAGACATAGCAGTAAGAAGATAAGACCAGTTCATTTCCTGGGTTTGCCACAGACTCACTCTGCAGCTTCAGACAACTTCCATTGTACCTGTTTCCCTGGATGGACAACATTTAAAACACATAGCTGATGAAAGAATTACTTCTTGTAAATGAATGGGGTTCTGATTTTAAAAGAGATACTGTTAAATTACAAGTTCAACAAGAACTTCATGATTGTATTGTATAAAATACTTCTAAGACCTTCAGGTATAATGGAATGACAAAATCTAGAGATTTGGTCATTGAGATATTGCTCCTCAATTCCAAATTAGCCTCATTTTTCTAGTCTATTAGGTTTGGAGAGGCTTATTTGCTGGGTTCATTTTAGGGTTTTAGCTATTTTTTGCTTATAACCATGGTTATATGAGACATTTAATAATATTACATTCTAATGATGAAAGAAAAGCTTTATCGAAATTTTAAAATTTTTATTCAAAACATTATCTGCATTTTTCCCTTATTTTTCCATAATACATGACTGTCACTGTGCTATAACTGCAGTACCCAGCATGGAAAAATAGGTGTATATGACACCTCCATCCCAGCCTGGTAGATGTATACACAGTGAATGTAACATTTCTGAAAATGTATTTGGTCTTCTCACAGGAAAAAGAAAAAGCTTTGGCAGGAGACTGCCACAATGAAAACAGTTCACACAGCTAACTTGTATCTTGATGGCTTAATCTTATAGAATTTATTTTAAATACAAAGTTAACCAGTAATATCTAGCAAGTAGCAATAACTACCCCTATCCAGTATCACTGACATAGCTAGATCAGAATTACAGGCTTATTTATAATTAAATTTCTCTTTGCCATGTTTAAGTTAATTGCCTTTTTGACAACAGAAAGAGAAAAGAAAAACATTGTATAAGAAACTGTGATTTCATACCACATTACTATGTACGAGAGTTATTCTCCCACAAAATAAACCATGTGGGAATACACAAACTGTTTGGAGTGGAACAGTGTAACAAATCTGTATTCTAGTCTCTAGCAGATGGAAATGTTTATTGTGTCTTCTGCACTTGTTTCTATGGGCCAGGTGCACAGCTGAAGGCTTTCTATTGTAGGCTTTTCTCCCTATTCTAAACTAGTGGATAAATAGGAATTGACAAAATCCAGTTTAGTTGTGACAAAAGAAAATAAGGACCACGGGTGATGCCAAAAATTTCACTGGGAAGCCAATGCTTGTTCTGATTTTCCTCATATATTTACACTCCTGGGGAAGAAACCCAGATTATGGCTCGGATATCATTCATGTTTCTGATGCAGCTTGTGCACAGAGTCATTTGAGTCTTTGGTTTGAAGCTGCTGTTTAACCTTTTCAGGCATGGAGAGGACAGTCACATTCTCCACAGTGATCTCAAGATGGCAGATCCTCGTGAAAGTATCTTCACAGTAGTGAAGTGATTTCAGGACAGATAAGCTGGGTCCAACATTTTAAGCTTTTATCAGTATAATTCCATTGACTCCAGTGAAAGATCCCAGCCTGTGCTGCACTCCTGAATTGTGTTTTCCCATGTGCAAGAACTTACATTTGCCTTTGTTGGGCTTCATTATGCACTCCTGCTCTACTTGTTACTGTAATGTATCCTACAACCGATACCTACTAGATATGATGTGGTACTACTCATAAAAACCATGAAGAAGGGGCTTAATAAGAGATCTTGATCTAAAAGCAAGGAAAGAAATAATAAGATATGTCTACAGTGGATGTAGACACTGCTTATAACATTTTTTCTCTAAGCAAACGTTGCTATACCCAAATATGATTTCTAAATTCCAGGGGGAATGTACAGAAGTTCTCAACACAACCACCATTTAAATTAACAAAACAGTAAGAATACTTTCTCTGGTGCAGTTGATGCAGACATGATTTCAAGCCTGAAACTTAGAAATTTCACTTCTGAAATCTGGAAAGATAACCAAACTTGAGGCTTCTGTGCTCCACTAAAGCAAGGAAAAATACATCATTGGTAATATACAGGCAAGATACATTCCAAAAGATATTGTTATGCAACAGATGTTGATGAATTATTTCTGGAAAATTAGATAGTTCTCAAAATACCACTCAAGAATTTTTCTAAAACTTAAATAACTCACACAGGTCTAAGGTCACCTTGACTGGTCTGAATCATTTTAGGATGGCCTGGTGAAACAAAGAGTTATGAGTTCAGGACGTGGACCAATCTTTTCCTTTCCAGATCATACGACCTTTGTGGATGATCTGAAAAAAAATAGGAAAAAACCACACACACATGCACAAATAAAACAAACAACATTTCAGTGAGGTGCAAAATACCCATTCTATTTCTAAGTTTGAAGCTCATGTGATTAAATCAACATTGCTTTTCTCAAGCAGATTAAGAAATTACCATTTGTGGCAAAGTCGCTGAAGTCTTGATGTGTTCTGTGAAAAGAACTCGAAGGTGCTGCTCTTGCTGAGGGTGTCACTGGGAATACAAAGCAAGCAAACCATGGCAACCTTGCACAGTTTTATGTCTTCCAGGCAATGCACATTCTTCCCCTTTCCATAACCCTCTGCACATGTTTTGACAGGGCAACACTGACGATAGTTTGGAAGAAATTGCATAGACCAGATGATATTTGAAGAAAAACAACAACAGAGATTCTCAAGGCATATTAAAAATTCAGTGCTGTTATGTGGAACATTTTGAAGATGATCTATTGGTGCTTCCCAGTAGATGTAACCCAAATATAGGACTTCTGGGAAAAATATTAAAGAGAGGACTGTAAGACTCTACATTACTTTGTGAGACAACTATTAGTGAAAGTAACTTAATGTTATAATTCTTATCACAGGTATTATTATTAGAGTCTTCACAACTACTTTGCTTTTTGCTATTAAATTCTTTCCTCTGTTTTCCTAGTGCAGAAGAAGTGCATCTGTTTTTTTCATGTTGGCAAGAGCTTTTCTTGTCTACACAAAATACATCTCTCTCCAAAACAGCATCCTGTCACTGAACTTTAGTCCATCTGCTGCGTGATATGCAGAAGTGCTAACATAGTGATTCCTAAAATATTTTGTCACCCAAATGTAGCAAGATATATTCTAAATCAAATTGGTTTTGCACAGAAATGATTCATGTCTAGTTAGTAAAACTGGTCTAGAGGTCACCAAAGATGTCATTAGATTATATAGAGCTAAGCTGGTTAAATGTCTTGGTGTTAGTGAAAGGGACAGTCCTGCTCTTCTCTCTGTACTCTGAAGCACCAGGAAGGGCTCTGGGGCTTACCTGACCACATGGCAAGCAGCTTTAATTCCTTAATCCAGGCAGTTCCCAGAGTTTTACTTCCTAGGGCCTGGAAAAAAGGGCCAGAAACAAAACAGAAAAAGAAGAAAGGGTTGATTACCTAGTGGGGATGTGAAACTAAGTCCACCACAGAAGTACACATTTGGTGAACTAATATCTTAATTTGAAATTAGTCTTAATTTGAAAAGTCTTGTCTCTAAGTACAGTAGAAATTAATTTGTGTCTAATTATTTGATATCATATGTATGGGATCACAAGATATTGTGGCAGATATGCTTTCACTCTCAGCTGGCCAGAAACAGTTTTCCTACATGGCTAGTTAGAGTTCAAACATATTTCTCATAAGACAAGAAGTAAATACAAAGAAGTCTCATATTTTCAATCAAACTCTGGGAAACTTCCCCCCAATTAAAAGGTTAAATACAGCTCATTTCATCAGACCTCTGGAGAATGATGCTGTCTCTTATAGCAGTAATTTTCCTCCCACAGTTGGACTACTATTTCCCAAAGCTTACAGCCTGTAGGGGTAAACTAATTCCCAAAACAAAAATCCTTGATTATTAAGCAATACATTTTTCACACGTAGGAAACTGGGGAGCAATGAGAGTAAAAGGTCTTTAATGTGCCATTCATACAAACAACGACCATACAAGTCACAGCCTCTCCTCCTGTACTATTTACAGTTCCATTGAAGTATGGAATGACAAAACAGGGGCAAAATATGGTTAGAAAAACTGTGAGGAATTACAGTTGTCACAGCCTGTTGCCTTTGTTCTCTGCACATCCTAACATTCAAAAGTCCTACTTCCCAAGGGTGTGAAAGCAGGCATATAATCAGAAGATCATCATAAGCAATACTTCCCACTGAGAGATCTTGCCACACATTTAAAACACACGGTATTTCAAAATCTGTGTCCAGGAGTAAGGAATACATTTTCTGTCTTAACAAGATTCTTGTGCAGCCTTCAATTTTGAGCAATTTTATAGAAGGAAGTTAACATTATTTTAAAAAAAATAACCCAAAACTTTAAGCATTTTGTTGGGAGAAGCATAGTATGCCAATTGGCTTTAATAGGAGAGAAGTAATACCTGAATTTAGAAGCTGTTTGTGAAGTAGAATATTGGATTCAGCCAATAAATGAAACAAAACCAAGAAGCATTAAGAAAAAATTCATTAAGTGACATTAAGATAAGGATATTGTTACTTAGAAACTGTAGTTATGTTAATAATGTATCCACTGTCTTGTATAATACACATTAAATCCCCTCAGCAAAACACTATTTTGTTCTTTGTAGTGTTCAAACACACACCCACAAATATGCAATGGATGGAATGATGGTTTTCCTACAGTGATGTTTGCCTTTAGGGAATAATAAATATATGCCTTATTTACCAGTAAAGTTACATTTCAGCTTTTTTTCTGTTATGGGATTTACAGAGCTTGCTTTGGCTTTCCACATAGTTACCTGTTGATAGTAATAAATGCTTTTTCCTTGTCATGTGATTTTGCTCCAAAAGGATGACAGAAATTAGCAGAGTTGTACAAAATAAGAAAGGATTTATCAAATACAACAATCAGTCATTTAACCATAAATCCACAAGGTGTTGCCAGGGAGGTATTTTTGCAGTTACATTACTGTAACTTAAGTTTAAAAGCTGACCAAGATTTCCTCTAAGGATGACATATTTCAGACAGGTTAAACTGGCCTGCTGGAGTTGACATTATTACTGAGAGTAATGGGAAATAAACTTAAGAAGGAAAGTGTCAACTGCAGAAATGACAGGGGAAAAAAAAAGAAATGGAAAAACCAGTTCTCGGATTTGCTTCTAAAACGTTTCTGTTTGACTCAGGAGTGACACCTGGGGACAATTTATAAATACTTATTTGCTCTCCTAATGTGATTCTCAATCACTGGCAACTCTTCTCTGAACTTCAAATCTGCAGTAAATCTGGGAAGCAGTAAAACATCTGTTTGTTGTTTAGAAGAATAATTTCAGTGTACCGTCAGTTCTAGTAGGGTATCAAACTACTGAACAGGATTTCAAGAAAATAAATAATTGTTACTGGTGAAGGGAGAACAGGTAGGAAACATCACAGCATAGGCCAGGAGGTAGTACTTTGGAGTTGTACACAAACATACACACACACACTCCAGATTTACAACCTTCCATATGTGAGCAGAGCATCCACAGTCCCATGTTGCTTTGGCAGAATACGGGCACACCAAGCACTGAACATGAATCCAAATTTGACTGTTGTTTTCCTTAAACATCTGGAGAAACCCAAGACTGCCAGCAATCCTTATCAGTGCTCATTTCTAACATGTGAAATTGGTATTGTGTGACAGAAAATAGTCACCTGAAAAAAGTAAGGGGAATTTTATCTTTCACTATTTAATTTGAAAAATAGCTACTGTGAGCATCAAAGCCAAAATAATCAAATGAAAACTCTGAAGGGAAAAATGGAAATCAGTAGTACTATCATGTCAGTAATTAAATATAAAGATTGAAATTCATCTGTCACAGAACAGTACCTTAAGGTCTATTTACCACACAGAACTTCAGGAACCAAGTTTTGTTCTGGCACTGCTTGGGGTTTCTCTGTTCATGCCCATGCCAGCTTTTTTGCCTGAATGTACTTCAGAAATTCTGCTGGCATAATTACATAGCACTTAGCAAGAGAAAGAGGGTTTTCTGCTAGGACTGTTACATTCCCTTCACAAACAACACTAGCTGGGCTGACAAAGGAATTCTTCTGGCTGTATAGTTGCTTCTACACTGGTGGGTTTGTGCTGGCACAGCTTTTTTTTCACTCACTGAGGCAACTGACCTACACTGTCAAATCTTCTAGCACAGGCTTGGGCTGAGTCCTCTCCAGTTCTCTAAAGCTATTTACAGACTAAGCCCAAAGAAATAAAATCCCTTAAAAATATCTCATCTCAACAATCCTAAAAATCTGTGAGATCAATGTACATACTAAAAACCCACTACTTTTCCTTCCCCAAAGTTACTGCACTTCAAGGACCAGCAGCTCTTACAGACCATCACCTCCTAAAAAAGCGGTGAAACTTTCCAAAAGGGTTCTTTTCAGAAATGCCTGTTTTGTGAAGTGTCTGCCTCAGCTGTATGGCTGGGAGGAGATAAGCTGCTCTAGGAATGGGGTACACACTGCTAGTAAAGGAAAGGAAGGAGCTACTAAAGGATTCATCATACTCATTAGCTTTTACAAGCTGCACAGAACAATGCTCTTTTTAGACAAAATATTGTTTAATGTCTTTTGCACACAGGGCAAAATCAAGAACAATGTGCATTTTGTCTGTTTGGTTCAGCACATTTTAATTAGATGACTGCTTTGAAAAGAGTGATGTTACTGTTGCTACATCTACTATTTCCAGAAAAGATTAAAGAACAAAACAACCGAAGAGTAAAATGTTCCTTTAAAATAGTAATTAAAATAACAATAGTATAAACATTATCAGCTGAATCACAGACAATTTCTGTGACCCCTACAATGCTCAAAGCTGACTTAGCTGGGAACCAGCATATGGCAGTGCTGACCCTTTGGGGAAAGAAGATACCTTTTCATTTTTCTGACATTTCACATGTGCCAAAATAGTTATGCAACTACTCAGGACAATGCATAAAACAGTAATTGTGCAAGTTTGGATTAAGCCAATGCTTGTTAGAATGCCAGTGACATTTTTATGTTGCTGCAATAGTTTTTGCAAAATGTAAACATCTTTTTCCTTCATTTCTTCATGTAAGCACTTCATTTTGTGTTGGAAAAATAATGTCCCACGCACTTTGCAAGTGGACAAAACAAACAAAAAGTAATCAGTGGTATAATGCAAACAGGAGTAATGGAGTTACAATTAAAATAAATGTGCATGAACAACTACAAATGATTTGAAGTGCTTGGCATACACTAAAGTCTAACATGAATTTTTCTTCTGGTAGCTTTAACCAAATTCTCCAGCTATTCAGTGTTTGTGGAGAAGTTTAGGTGACACACAGTCACTTTTTTCAAATTCTCCTGTACAGCATCACAGTGCCAACACGTGCTCTCTCTTAAGACAGGAGAAAAATTGTAATTGATTTGGCCATGGCCATTCCAGAATAATTCCCCGTGCTAATTGCCTTCTCTGGAATAAGAATACTGGCACAGAATACTTCTGGAGTAATTAGGCCTATTTAGAAACAAGCTCACTATTTCATTCTCACAATTTCATAATGAAGTAATTATTTTCTGCAACAATGTTAACATGTTAACTTGCTATAGAAGAACAGCTTTAAAAATCCCATGACACTGTTATTCTTTCTTCATAACAATAATGCCATTCTGCTTTAGTCATTAATGAAACTAAAATCCTAAGGGATCTCTAATGGGCAACATGCTCCCTCAACTGGAATTCCAGAGAATTAAGAAGGTGAAAAGAAAGCACATGAAAATCCCACATGGAACTAGTTTTCTTTTCCCACCTCCCTCAAGGCAGGCAGTCAGCATGGAAAACTTTCCATATGAAACAGAAGTGTTATAAAACTCTTACCACATTCATAAAGCAGGAGATCTGGCCCAGAGATATTATGGAATCCAACAGTGGACATGGCAACTTTGAGCTTCTCTGTGTCAGGGAGTCACTGCAGTAAGAAAGGGTGTGAATAAGCAGCATGTTCCATACCCTGCATTAACACCCTCTATTGATATTTTTAGTGCTAAGTTCAACATTTTCATTATCTCAAAAACACTCTTTATTAACAGTCCAGAAAAATTTGTAAAAGACACAGTTGAATTCTGTTTGATAGTGGAGAATCACCTTAGAATCACAGAATCATTGAACTGCTCAGATTGGAAAAGACCTCCAAGATCCTCGAGTCCAGCCATTCCCCCAGCACTGCCAAGTCCACCACTAAACCATGTCCCCAAGTGCCACATCTGCGTGGCTTTTAAATCCCTCCAGGGATGGTGACTCCATGACTTTCAGTGCTTGGCAACCCTTTTGGTGAAGAAATTTTTCCTGATATCCAATCTAAACCTTCTCTGGCACAACTAGAGGCTTTTTCCTCTTTTCCAGTCGCTTGTTACTTGTGAGACCAACACCCACCTGGCTACACCCTCCACTGTAGAGAGCAATAAGGTCCCCCCTGAGCCTCCTTTCCTCCAGACTAAACACTTCCAGCTCCCTCAGCTGCTCCTCATAACACTTGTGCTTGAGACCCTTCCCCAGCCCTGTTGCCCTTCCCTGGACATGATCCAGCACCTCAATGTCCTTCTTGTCATGAGGAACCCAGAACTGGACACAGCACTCGAGGTGTCTCACCAGTGCCCAGCACAGGGGGATGATCAGTGCCCTGGTCCTGCTGCCACACTGTTTCTGGTGCCTTGTGCCTCTGTGTCACACTACAAGTCCCACTTTAAATGGCAGCCCCTCTGCTGCATTGTCTCACCTGTCAAGGTAAGACAATATATCAAGCTACAAGGCTGACAATTTGATGGTACCTAGAATTGCAAATTCTCTTTGTCACTTGTCTCCTGCTAGAACAATACAAGCTTACAGCCAGTGGAAAAACATCTCCCGAGGATCTGGTACTTAAAATTGTCATTGTTGCTCTGTCAATTTAGCATCCCAGCCCCTGAGATTCTCAAATTTGTCTCAGGTCACAGGGAGCAAAAATATCCTGTGTTTCCTTTTATCACTTCCAAGGAATCTATAATCTCCACATTCTACACCTGTATAGGTGAAAACAGATTTACTCTAAGAAAGCAGAATGTAATTTTCTAATCAAAATGTTGCTAATCTAGGTGAAAGCATAAGAACTGCTGAACAGAGGTCTGGATTGTACCTAACAAGATTTATTTTCAGCTCCTTCATGCAGCTCATGTATTTTAACTGACCCAATGCCTCCTCCCACCGATCCTACACCTGGCTTTCAGATCTCTGAAACCACCAGTCTCTGCCTCTCTTCAAAACAGATCCCCTCCTGTCTTTAACCTTTCTAATCCTCACTCAGCCACTGTTCACATCATTAGTGATCTCATCCTTCCCTTCCTTGACGCGCGTTCCTTGCTCAGCACATTCCTTCCACATTAAGCAATTCCTTCTGCTGTTTACACCACTTTAAGCTGTCAGAAGGTTTATAAACCATCTACAGGTTCTTCACAATGTGCACACCTAAACATCTTTGTTTATTCTGAGCACATAACAAACAGTTTTGACAGTAAACTACTCACCTAACCCACCCTCCTCCTCCTGTTTTTCAGTCTGGAGGCTCATGAGATCAAAACCACAGAAGGAATTCTGTCTAAGGAGTATCTGCAATGACTGTGCATTCAGAGGAAGGCATCCTGAACAAAAAACCAGCCAGCACTCAACGTACAGATCTTTCAGGTCTGAACAGTACAGGATAACTAAGCAACAGATCACACAGCTGAGGACTCTGAGCCCCCAGTTAAAGCCACCTGAAAAAAGGGATGGTTCTTGTAAAAAGAAGACCTTTCAGTCTTTATTTTTAGAGAGGAAGAAAGGCTGTGTTTACATACAAAACTGAGAGACACACGACTGCCTTGGAAAATAATGAGCTGAGCACATGAATTGTTTGAGAGATGAGAAGATGGACACAGGGAAATATAAACTGGTGTTTTGGTGTACAGATCCATGCATTTCTTTTGCTATCTAAAGTAAAAAAAATTAGGTTTATGTCCCTTCTAACTTGCAGTATGTGTTCAATTGCTCCAAAAGAAAGGCTTTAACTCTAGATTGGAGTCCTCATGGAGAAGAATCCAGCTCAGGAGTACTCAGCACCAACACTCAATGAAATGTATAAGAGTTAAATTGCTAAATTCTTTTGCAAACTTGGAGTAATTTTACAATGGATTGTGAAAGAGAGCTTATCCTCCAGCACTACATTTGGAAAACCAAAAAAGACTTTTATTTAAAACTCTTTCAATCAAATAGCTTAAAATCCATTACTGTGAAACAACACCTAGCAGTTCTGTCCGTGTCCGGCAGAGGGAGAGGAACAGGGGCGAAAGAGCACTTGTTAAATAGCAGCGTTAGAACAAACAAATCAGTGAAAAGATGTTTCCAGGGGGAAGATACCTTAGTTTGGATTACCCTTGTGTAAATATAAAAGCCTCTTTATGGTTCACTTACACTTACAGGAACCCAGCAAAGCTTAGAACAGATTTGGCTCTTGACAAAGCCATCAGGCTGAAACATCGTTGTGTTTTCTGCTCTCTAGTTCTCAGCTGCATCTTCACAGAATTTGCCAAACTTTAAGAATATTAATTTATCATCTCTGGGCACCTAGTCAAACTTTTAATAATTTCCTTCTTACCTCCTGTCTTTTTTTCCTCCTGGGTAAATAACACGTTCTTTTGGCTTTGTTTTTAAAGGCTCATTCTGACTTCAAAGCAATTCCAAATATCAGGCTACTCATATAAGTGAGTAACTATTGTTTAACTGTGAGTAACAACATATTTAAATCACTTTAAATTTCAGGGCATGGCTCACAGTGCATCAGCTGGATTTCAGCTTCCTGCCATACCAGAAAGGGAAGTTGTACTCCTTTCCCACTCCTCCCAATCCCAACCAAAAGGGGGTTTTTTCCTGATGTCAAGGTAAACTGGGTCGATTCACTCATAACCCAGCACCCTAAAACTACTCTCCTTCCCTTTAAAGTCTGCTGCTGGTTTATGGAGTTTGATAAGTCACCTGTAGTTAGTGAGCAGGGGACTGTTTGAAGCTGTTAACCTGTTTGAAGCCTTCTAGTGAAATATATCTTTCTCCTATGCTTCAGTTCACCTGAATAAAGCACTGGTATTGCACAGGTGTACCTGCCAGGGTGTAAAGTGCTTGTGAGAATCCTGGAGGGAAGGTACTACTAAAGTACAGACCACTGTTCCTAATATCCTATGGATGAGGTCCTTCATTTCACTGCCACAGGACTGATTTCCCACAGGCTGCAAAGTACTGGTGAAGCTCCCTTGAGATAGTTTATGATGTGAGTAGCTTGCTCTCACCAAAGGAGGTCCTGTTCCACATTCTTACTTTATACCAGCTCTGGCATTTGTCAAATGCCTCTTAGTTGATTCATCTCAGTAGCCCAGGAGGAAAAAGAAAGTGGATTTTTCTGTAGCTAAATTTAACGAGCCAGACTGACTCAGCAAAGGGTCCAACACAGCAGCACAAGGATGGTGGAACTGTGACAATGTGGGGGACAGTTTCTCTGCACCCCAGTACCCACATCTTAACCCTGAGGTGGGCCAGACTCTCCTTCTCTAAGCAGTGCATTGATAATTTAAATCAGTCATGATGTGAGGGTGGATTTATATGCATGGTTCTCAACAAAAAAAAGCTTTTTATTAATTACTAAATGAAGAGCTGGTATATTTATTCTAAGCATTTTAGTGCAAAAGAGATTTAAACAAGAAAAGCTTTTACAGTGCTTTAAAAGCTCAAGAGCGGGACCATTTACACTCCAGTAGATATTTTGCCAGTAAGATTATCATGACTCCACTTAGGTTTTGCTTTGAGTACTAGCTGTTCCTAAGTGGAAAAACAAACTACTAGCCCTGTTAAAAATTCAGTGTTTGAGTTTACACAATTCCTGTGTGCAGCAGCCTGCAAAACAGGTTTGTACACTCTGAAGGACATCTGGCATCTTCTGAAATTCTGTGGACTAATTGTTTATATCCTAGCAAGTACCTAGGGAATAAGTACCTGTCCAGGAAGAAAGAAAGGTTGGGTAACACAACCAATACTAAGTTTTTTCTATGTCTTGTCTGTGCTGGTAATCTTAAGGTAAGTCTTAATTGTTCTGAAAATACAGCACCTGCCTCCAGTCCAGCCTTTCCTGACTTGTAGGCTGTGCCAGGGCTCCAACAAAACACAAGCTTGCAATGCAGTGCTGCAGTCATTAAACCTGAGCTGTTAAATGCTCATAGTGACAGTAAATAACAAGTCAGTGGGTCAGCAGAATGCATGATGCTTGCTTTCCACTGGAGTTTTGTCTGTTATTCAACACTAGTAACCCACGAGCTTCATTGCTCAAAATGCTGTTACCTTGTTTCCATACTAAATGAAATATATCAGACACCTACTAGTTTATAAGTGTCACCTAACAAGCAAAGGTTAGTATTAAAAAAAAAACCAAAAACAAAACCAAACACAATTCATTGTATATTACTTTTTTATATTACTTTGTTTTTTAAACAGAAACATGATTGCCACACACAGATGAGAAACTTACTTGCAGTTTAACAAAATTCTAAATATTACAACAGTAACACAGGTGAGACTCTTGCTTAATTATACTCAATTTGAACAATAGAAACTGTGGCAATCTGTGTATTAAAACTGGCAAGGAGCTCGGCACCAGAGAACCACTAGAGAGTGGCTTTCACAAGGTCTTTAAAACTCATTCTTTCAGCTCTGGTGAAGGCAAACTCTTGTTGCTGCTTGAAGAAAAGACTTCAACTTAGCAGAATTGTATAGTCTCTCGTGTGAAATACACTTTTTCTTCCAAAATTAATTTTTGTGGTGTTAGTGGGGATATTTTTCTTATTATTTTTATAAGGGCTGCCCTTATAAAAAGGGTGGTGTTTTCCCTAGATATGATCAGCTGGAAGCCCACATTTCTACCAACATATGTAGAATTTTTTGCTTGCCAAGGGTGTACCCGTTGCTGCTGGTGTGAAGCCAGAAACCCTCTGGCCCTCGTGTCAGGATCATGTCACCTAAATGCCCCCTCAGGAGACTTGGTGTTCTCCAACCAAAACTGCACCAGATTCTGTCCCAAATGGAGACCTTTATATTGTAGTTCTAAGCCCATCTGGTTTCAAAACAACTCTGTAATTTGTCTTACAGCATTCTAATATAAATACTGCTGCAGATGACTCAGTCCTTGCACATCAGCACTCCAAGAAACTCCCTTCTCCCAAGGACTTGCTCTGTCTGCTTATAAACACTCACACTGAACCAGACAAGATGAAATGCTGCCACAGTCGCAACCAAATTCTGCTTGTTTCCCCTCTGTCCCTCACTGTTTCTTCCAAACACACCTACCTTCAAGCAATAATTTCAGGTTTGTCGAGGTTGGGTTTTTTTTAATAACTTCTAATAGTCACACCAGTCAAGGGCCTCAGTATTTGACAAGTCCTGCTGAATCTGGCTTAACTGGATCGTTTCTTAAATGATAATAACCAAGTCAAAGTGTGCTGAATTAGCAAAATTGGGACTCTACGCATCCTGCCAACTTTTGGCTGGGCAGGTACAGCAGTGTTGCCTGTGGCATCCCGCAGGAGCACGTGCGGGAGCTTTCACCTGGGAGCTTTCACCTGGGCGCTTTCCTGGCGCAGCGCAGGTGCTGTCAGTGTCTGTCACTCTGCCCCTGTGCTGTCCAGGACGAGCGCGGCGCGGTTTTACACGGATGGAAGTTCCCCAGGGCGGTCCCCGCGGGCCGGGCGGTCCCGTCCCCCTCACGCGTTCGCGCCACTCCCGGTCCGTGCCCTCCTGCAGGGGGGCGGGGCCGGCAGCGACGCACGGCGCGCGCGGAGCCTGACGGGAGTTGTAGTCCCTCCGCGCACAGAGAACGCAGGCAACTCCATTTCCCGTCTGTCCCGGGGAGGCGGGACGAATGGGCTCGCGCGTTACCTGATGGGAGTTGTAGTTCTGGCGCCGCGCCTCGGACGTGCGGCGGGGCGGGACCCCGGGGAGATAAAAACTACGGCGATGGCGGCCGGGAGGCTAACCGGGAGCGGTATGGCAGCCGCGGTGGCCACGCTGGCGCTCGCGTCGGGGCGGCGGAGCAGCACGCGGAATCGCGGAGCGAGTGCTGAGTCGGTGCGCCCGGCTCCCCCCTCACCCGGAGACGCTTTCGGGCGCGGAGCTTGTGGGCCGCACAAAATGGAGGCGAACGGCAGCGCAGCGACAGCAGCAGGTGACTCGGCCCCGCGACCTGCTGGGACCAGGCGGACATCGAGAACGGCAACGGCCGCCGGCCCGGGCTGCGGCCGCGCCGGCCGCGGAGGCCGAGGGCAGCAGGAGCTGCTCGGGCGGCCTTCAGCCGGCAAGCTGAACTCAACGCCAAGCCCTTCGTGCCAACGTCTCACGCCCGCCGAGTTCGGTGCCGTGTCCTTCCCTGCGGGTCGGCCCGCGCCCGGCCTGCCAGCCGCCATCCCCCCGCCCGCTCCCGCCGCCGCCGCCACACGGTACCAAGCGGGGGCGGGGCCATGTTGGGAGCGCGCCGGGCTCCGCGGGCCGGGGAAGGCCGCCCGGGGACCGGGGGCACGGGGGGCGGCAGCGGGGCCCCCAGCGCAGGAGGGTCTCGGCAGCGGGAGGGGCACGGCGGGGGGCTCCGCGCTGAGGGCTGGCGGCCCTGAGAGGCCGGGAGCAGCGCTGGGGGCAGCGGGTGAGGGAGCCCCCGAGCCCGGGGGGGCCCGGCGGGGTCTGCAGGTGACGGGGGCTCTGCGGGGCCGGGCCGGGCGCGGGGGTCGTGCCCAGGAATGGGGGTGCTGATTGGGGTGCTCTGGCTGCGTGCGGGTCCCCTGTGCGTTTCTCTGGTACCTTTGCTCGCAAAGGGTCACCCATGACGAGAGGAAACCTGCCCAAAGCACGACAGGAGTTGTCGGAGGTTTTGGTGGTCATAAATTTGGTGTTGCTGGGGAGAACAGCACTGCCTCGGCCACCAGTGGCTCGGATGTGTCTTAAATGTCTTTTTGAGGATTATATCAAGTAGTTATTTTTTTCCAACCTAATGCTGATAAAGGATTAGCAGGGAAGGGAGTTGTGTCCAGCTGGCTTCAGTGAATGGAATAACTTGAAATTTACCCTGCTTTTAATTTCAAAGGATCTTTGTGTACGCAACCAATGTTTATACTAGATTTACTTTGCATATGGGAAATGAAAGGAGAGCTACTTTTTCATTTCCAGCTCCAAACTGAAGGTCCTTCCAAATATCAGACATGCTGGTTAACTTTGTGGTAGCATTTTAATGTCACTCCTGCAGCTAAGGAGTTTAAAGCCTTCCTATTTTTTTCTCTAATTTTTTTCAATTATTCCTGTTGGTATAATATGAATTAAGCTAGTGTTCTAGATATTTATCTAGTAATTTAATTTCACTAAAGAGACTACTCGTTACATTATATTTGCACTATTTCCTGTTGGCTGTGGCTTATTATTTATTGTGTTCTGCTTTAATACATTAATTAGTCTTGCTCTCCCTAGTATCTAAAGTTATCAGGTGTTAACAACTAAAAACTATAACTTTCATATATGAAGGTTTAAAATTTTCATAGCAGAACATTATAACCTGTTTCTGATGGTAGAGCAAATGTTAGATTATGTGTTTGCTAGTGCTGCTCAGCACTCCTGATTTTTATCACAAGTTGTAGCTCATGTACTATGCAGGCAAAATATAAGTGCATTAAAATATGCTTTCAAGAAGCCATGGGCAGACCCTTGGATTCCATTTAGAATAAATATACATGTTTGAGTTCACAGGTGTAAGGGCAGACTGGGTACTTCGAGGTTATGATGGACACGTGATGCACCTTTGACTAATCTGCAGAATCCATCCCAGTGTTTTCCAGATATTGCAACCTGAATCCAAGTATTTTTTTTACTATGTAATCAGTAGTGTGATTGAAAACTTTCTTGGTGTTTTGAATGTTTTTAGTATAACTTTGTGGGGTTTTGTCTCCTGGCTACTTTTGTAAGGTCCCTTCTGAGGCTTCCTATAGTTAGGGGGTTTTTTGTAGGATTTAAACTGCGTTTCCTCACCTGCTCATTAGATTTATTTCATCACACTGTCCTTTGTTCCACTCTTGCTACTTCTGAGGCCTGTGATGAGCTTTGTCTTTCCAGAAGCTAGAGATGACTTTACTGAAAGCTGCCTGGCCATCTGGAGTGATCAGGAAGGCTTTTCTTTGCATCTTAGTTGCTGAATACATTTCCTACATAGTGCTATGATCTACCTGGTTTGAATTCACCTTGATGCTATACCTTCTTTAAGGTTTAGGATTTTGAGTTTCTCTAAAAGTAACTTTGATATTCCTAAATTTAGGCAGACAAAAATGTGCAGTTATAAAAAACTAACTTTCTTTCTTACCTGGAAGACTGTACTTGTTGGGTACTTTTTCGTGTCTGATGTACTTGGGTGCAGAAAGTAATTGACAGTCTTCTCCTTGCAGATGTTTGTATAAGGTGACAACTACTTTCCTGGCTGGAAGAACGAGGTGGAGCTTGCTCTGGAAATAAGTCAGAACAACATGTGATTAGACAATGGTGCTGAATGGGTTACTTTTTAGCAACCCAGTTTGCTTTTTTCCCCATAGGTGTTCTGTGACACTTCAGTACATGGTTTGTACTGGGAAGAATCTAAATTAATCTTGATTGTTAGGAAAAAATCTAAAAAACTGGGTGTCAGTTTAACTTCAGTGGCTTAAAGTTAAACTCTAATAATGCTTTTCTTCTTGGAACTTTCTCTTGGTGAGGTTTCATTCAAGTCATAATTCCTCAGTAACTCAAAGGGCATTGTGGGTCAGGATAAATGTGTGGTAGTGCCATGGCATATAAAAAAATTCCACAGCACTGATTCCATTGTGTGGCTGTGGTGTGTAATGGTGTTTTTTCCTTTTATGCACACTAACTTCATGTTTCTAGTAATTTGAATAAAATTCCTGTCCCTTATGTTTAGAGCACAGAAATAACATTCTTGGAAGCCATTTAGGGAACAAGATGTTAACTTTCTAAAATTGGGAAACTCCTGAGACCTGCATTCTGAGTACTTTACCTTAAAACTTCTGGTTTATGCATGCTTTCTTTTGATTGGAAATTGTATATTAGGGAGAAGAGCTGGCTTTACCATCAATATAATTTTTGCTTGCAGATAGTTTGGGAATTAGTATGGAATTAAATTACCATTTGATTATATGTAAAAAGCATGTTATTTACATTTTTGAACCTAAGCAGCATATTAAAGCCAATATGTTCCAAATGTTGTAGCTGTGAGGACTTGCTTTTATCAATTGTGTCCAAGTCAAACTCATTTGTGTCAAATCTCTCTCTGCTGGATTCTGTGGAAATGTGAAATGGAGACTTCTCTGTTTTCTGTCTGCACGAGGTGTGGCTGTGACACAGTCACTGGACATGGGACTGGAAGGATGTTGTGAACAGGGGAACTTTCTGTAGGTAGCAGCTGCTGGACCAGCAACTCAACTAAGGCCAGGTGTGGTTGTGTTAAGGCTTCTAAACATTCTTAGTCACAACTGGCCCTTGCAACTTCACTCTTCTTTAGCATCTCTGGCTTATTTTTGTGCTATGTTTTACTACTTTTGTAGTTGTATGTAAGATGTAATTATATTTGGGTGGCTTTTTTATTCATGTCTGTATCAAGGCATGGTTCAGAGGGTACAGTGAACACCAACCCCTTGATTAATAAGACTTCTGTAATCTAACTTTTTTTTTTTTTATCTTGGGTATGCAAGAAGCAAAACATTTCTGAAAATGCAGTGTAAATCTGCATTCTTGTCGTTCAGTTTTTGTCACAGTTCTTGAATATTCACAGAATTCTTGGTAAAATTGATCACAGTTTCCTTGGATGGTCTTTACTATATTTTAGGTTAGTTTTTCTTGTTAGAATTTTTTAAGTATTCACTCAAAGTGTTAATTTTGCTTGGAGCAGGAGACTAAACTAGATAACTTCCTGGGATCCCTTCCAATCTGAATTCTTCAATGATTTGAAGTATGCAGTGGTTGTAGTAAGAAAAAAAGCTGTCATTAGTACAAAAGTAATGAGAACAAGAAGCGTGTGACTCATCACAGCCGGTGTAAGGAAAGCCAGCATTTATCCTTTTAGTGGTATTAGTGCTACTGCTTCATTTAGTAGCTCTCTTGACCTCTTCAAGTCACTTCCTGAACATCTTTATTAATGACTACAGTTTAAACAACTTGCACCTACAGTCCTGAGCCAAGCAAACATCTGGCTAAAGATCCAGTGCCCTTCAGTTTGCTTCACTCCCTAAATATCCTCACTCACCTGCAGTAGCCACTTTTAGTTACAGTCCAGCAGCTGGACACCTTGAGCCTTCAAATGCTGTAAATAAATGGATATAGCATTTATCTTTCTGGTTTTCCCAGCCTTCGTTTTTTCTGACCTTGTAGCTAGCTGGGACATCCATATATTCCCCACGTGTTGCCAGTCAGACACTAGGGGAGAAGTTTCAGTATTTTCTGTTTGAGTTCTGGTGCCTGTAGTTTCCAGGGTAGGATGATGAGTTACCTGTATCCCTGGGTTCCCCAAAGCCGGTCTTCTTGTTTTACACTGTTCT